ACGCTACAATCTAGTGTCATCGTATTTTCTTGTATATTCCAGGATACTTATAATACAGTATAGCAAAATGTAGTATCACATAATATCATAGCAGGATTGAATCAGAGGGCCCCCATGGCCCTCTCTGACTTAGCGGAGGTGATGAATCGCCCTGCCGGGATTTCGGCTCCCCTCTTCGTCGTCCACCGGCTGGCCGCTGGGAGCTAAGCGCCGCCGATTGATTTGCCTCTGTCAGAGTCAAAGGGCTTCGAAGGTGGGATGCAGGTAGGTGGGATGTGCCCAATTCAGAGTCCTTATATAAGGGATCCTTCTTCCTACCCTTTGAGGCCTCCGACTCTGCGGCCTGACATGGTGCTATGTAGTAGTTCGTATACCAGCCCTTATAGCAACGATTATTGTCGTTCTCCATGGCTTCGGTATCTCATCCGAACGCAAGCTTATCACAGCCCCATCCCAACCGGGTGCCCAGGCAATTTCGAAGAAGATGGACCTATCGGACACCGAGCGCATGGCCATGGATGCAGCGCTGTCCGTATCTCAGGTGGAGGGGGTACTGTGAGGGGTGCTAAAAGCGTTACTATAGGGGCATATAGGGGCTACTGTCGACTATATGGGGTACTGAGCGGCATACGGCTGCTGCTGTGCATTGACATGAACTGAACTTGACTATCCTAAACCTTGGAAGCCCTAAACTCTAAACCCTAAACCGTAGCTCATTGCTCTGAGGTCCAAGCTATCGAACTTTGTGGGAAGCTGCGAGGATGTTCTGCCACCCTCAGTCTCACACTCAGGATTTCCTCAGCTGTCGGTGGTTTTTTAGCATTTGGTGGTCATGTGCAAGTGTAAGTGTACTTGGCTGCGGATTCTGCTGCAACCTGTCTCGGTCTCCTGCTTGCATGCTGCACGGTTCCGAGACGCCGCTGGGCTTTGCTACGCATACGAGTCGTGCCTCGTGGCATTTTGAAGCATTGGCAAAGCCTTGGTCTTGCTACGCCGAAGCCGCCTGCAGAGACAAGGATTCCTGTTCCTGTTCCTGGCCCTCCTCCCCCTGGCGCTACAAAGCCAGCTTGGAGCCGGAACCCCGGTAAGCCACCTACAACCCAGCCGGTGCCCAAGGGAAAGTCTTTTGTTGCCAAGATACTAACCGTGTTCTTCGAGCAGATCGTCGCCTACATCTTTCTTGGCATCAAGGCTGCATTTCTTCTTTCCCGCAAAATGTCGGAGCCGGGGCGCGACGCCAGCAGAATCTGCATGCCCTATAGTTGTCCTTGTCACCGCCGGTTTAGCAAGTCATCACCTCTCACGGTGCTACGCACTCTGCGCAGCCACCCGGGCACGTCTCTTGGGCGACGTTTGGGTGTCTGACATGCACCAGTTCTCCTCGGTAGAAATTCAGGCATACAAAGCATCGCTGCAGCGCTGGAGGACCGCCCAGAATTGTCGAATCCTGAGCCGTCATAGCCAGAAGACTGAACCCTACACTACCCTGAACAGCAACTGCTCTTGCTCGCGTCGCTCATGTCTTCGCCCTGAAGCCCGAATACAAAACCCTCAACCCTTTACTCCAAACCCTAAACCCTGAAACCTGAACTGAAGGCTGTACCCTATTCCCCCCTAGAATAAAGCCTGAACCCTCAACCCTATACCCTAAACCCTAAACCCTGAACCCTGAACCCTAAACCCTAAACCATGAACCCTAAACCCTGAATCCTAAACCCTAAACCCTAAACCCTGAACCCTGAACCCTAAACCCTAAACCCTAAACCCTGAACCCTGAACCCTAAACCCTAAACCCTGAACCCTGAACCCTCAACCCTAAACCCTGAACCCTCAGCCCCAAAGCGGCACAAAGCCCCGCGCGAACCCAGAGACTCCAATATTCCTTGATTAGGGAATATACCTTAAATCATATGAAAGATCCTACTATAATTTCAGGTATATTCCCTAATTAAGGGATATCGGAGTCCCCTAAACCCTAAACCCTATAGATCCCTTGTAGATCCCTTAAAGGAACCCTAGGTATTCCTTAATTAAGGGATATTGGAGTCTCTGGGAAGGAGCCCTTCAAACTGCTTCCGATCTCACAGATACTGTCTCAGATCGCGCTGGAGAGTCAGGCGCCGGACGACTTGGGAGCTTCCGAAAATTTTGGGATGCCTTTAAAGGGATCCTTGTAAGGGTTCCCTTAAAGGGATCTATAAGAGTTCTAGAGAGGGTTTAGGGTTTAGGAGTTTCCGAAAATTTGGGATACCTTATTCTGGAGTCCTTATACTAAGTATCTCTACTATTTAGGGTACTATGGTATTGGGGCCAGACGACTCAGGTAGGGTTCTTTTGGTTTAGGGCTTGGGATGTAGGGTCTAGGTTGCAGAATTTAGGTTTGTAGGGTCTAGGCACACGGAGGGAGTGGAGAGGGGCTGTGGTGGCCAAGTGATTCTGACAACTATTCGTCATCATGAGGGCCACCAAGATGATGGTGGTGATGTTGATGGCGATGATGTCGGTGATAATGATGTTGTTGATGATGAGAGGATGCGATGGGTGGCCGTGTTGATGGTGCTGGTACTAGTGATGACGACGATGATGCTGCTGATGATTTGTCGCCAGTACTGTCAGAAAGTGCAACACCTTCCGCTGCAGCAACGCCCAAGATAGAGGCAGGGCAAGAAGAAGACGAACTCTGCCCCGATGCAGTGGCCGTCTAAGCTGTGTTGCTCCGGCTACCGAGCTCGCTGTCGTCGTCGTCGGACCTTTGCTGTTGCTTTCAGTTATCCTGTGTCGTGTCGGTCGTGGTCGTAGCTGTGGTCGCAGCGACTGTGATTGTTGTGGCGGTGGCTGCTAGTGTTTGTGCTGAAGCCATGAAGTACTTGTAGCTGAGCCGTGGAAATTCTGGCCGAACTCGCAGGAGCTACGCGATGAGTGGGACAGGCCAGACCGATCCCGACTTTCCGAAGCTCCACACTTAGGGGCCGGAGCCGTGCAACCCATGGCCATGTAGGCCTGAGGCCCTAGCTCAAACCCGAAGGCTAAATCCCTCCGGCCCCGGCCCAAAGGACCTCCGGCCCGAAGGACCCTAAACCCTAAACCCTACACCCTAAAAGCCCGTCGTGGTTTGCAGGAAAGTCATGGAAGATGGCTTGTTGAGTCGGCAACAGAACGAGGGATTGCCATGAGCCTCGGCTTTTGTGGATCCTGGCGACTCTTAAGAAGGAATATGGGAGTTTCCGAAAGTAGGGGACCCTAATATAGTGCCCTAAATGGTAGGATCCTCATAATAAGGACCCCAAAACAAGGTACCCGTAATTTTCGGAAACTCCCATATAGCTTCTTCCCTGAGCCTGACTTAGGGCTTCATAAGATTCATAAGGATGCCCCTAGAGTTGAAGGTCTATTTCTCAATTTGAAGGGCTTCTTGAAGTCTCCGAGAGAGCCCGTAAAGAGGGAAGCACCTTATTTTGGGGTCTTTATAAGAAGGATCCTAGTATTTAGGGTACTATATTAGGGTCTCCCATTTTTTTCGGAAACTCCAATATCTTCCAAGCAGTCGTGGCAGTTGTGCTCTGCGGCTGAGGGTATTCCTTCAAACCGTGCCTCGGCTTTGAAATCACGCTGCCTCGGGGAAGACGAGGGGATCTAAAACCCTCAAAGCATAGAAGTGGGAGATCATCCGATACCCTATACTCTAAGCCCTAAACCCTAAGCCTCTACATGCCAAACCGTGAGTCGAACGAGTCAACAGAGGCGCCCGTCGCTCCTGGCGAAGAAAGTTGTCACCTCCGAAGCGGTGGTCTCCGAATTGCAATACAACTGAATTCGCAGAGTTAAGGCCTTTTACGTCACCTGACATTTTTCGCCCAAATCGGGCGGAAGTTTGTCTCGTTGCTTGAGGATTGCCTTCCTTGGTGCTGTGACACAAGGGGGCATGATGTATGTTGATGCGCTGAGATGTCCAGTTGATGCAGGCATAGTTGCGCAGGCACTGAGATTCAGGATGTTTCCAGTGGGCAGCCGAGCATTTCGTGCTGCGAGTCTAAAGTGTTGCTGGTCTCCCGTGCATCAGCAGAGTGTTGTACAAAGCATACATTAGTTCATGCCAGATGCAGGCATTCGCCTAAGGAGCTGGCATAGAGTCCTACGCGTTGTAATCTTAGGTTGAGAGGGGCTTTCAAGCTGCCAGAACCATGGGCAGCTTGGGCACCCAGTACCAATGCCGCTGTGTGGCGGTGTTTCCCTGCACCAGACCGAACAGCGACCTCTGGATGGCAGGGTAGGTGGATCTTGGATCCAGGGTCAGCTGAGGCTGACTTTGAGTCTTTGAGCTGTCGTTCCGAATATTTCTGGATCCATGCTTGTCTGCAATGTACAGCAGCACGTCTGCAGTCTTGTCGGGGATGGGCTTTACGCTCAGTTATCCTGCGACGCCCCAGGGAAGACCTGGGTTCATACCTTGCAGCTTCGTGAAGAAGCAGTATTCTTAAAGCCTCGATGTTTTGCGGGACGGCGAACTGCGGTGCATAAGCTACTTGGTTCGCAGCTTCTGTTCGTCGTCCTGAGGGCAAATGTACCAGAACCGCGCGTGCTTGCACGGAGAGGGGCCTATGTGACCTGCTGGGAGGTGTGTGCAGCTGCACGGCTGCCCTGCTCAGGCTTTTGGCAGTGCCATGGTGCCCAGAGTTGGCACAGATCCCACCACTGGTGGAGAAATCCTCGGTATTTTAGTTATTGACTTGCTGAGTTGCAGCCGCCTGCAGCTGGAAAAGTTGAAGCAAAGCCAAAGGCAGGGTGTTAGGCAGTGTTACAGTAGAAGCCAGAAAGTTGGAATATGATTCTCCTAAGCCCTTTATGGTAAATTATAGGGTATCCTACCCTGAAACCATATTCCAACTTTCTGGCTTTTACTATAGGATGTTGTGTCGGAGGTCTCCTGCTAGCTGCCAGCTATGAACCCGTAGCCTGCTCAAGCACCATCATGCAGCCTGCGGTGCTGCTGGCCGTGGTAAATGCAACGCCAGGCGGGTCGGAAAAGAAAGCTTTGCAGAGAAGCTGACAGTTTCATGAGATGTGCGAGAGGCTCCTAAACTCAGGGCAGCAGGGCATCTTGGTTGCAGATGGTTACGGTTTAGACTGTCGACTTTCGATCCACACAAGCAACACATGACTGTCAGCAGACAGGCACGTGCTTACTCGTAGCACCAGTGTGACAGTTGATGTGTAAACCATAAACATCGCAGTGCCATCGACCGTACGGGCGTAATGAGTTCAGACTGACCGTGGATACGAACACTGTGATGTTGCTATCTGCCATGACTCATGAAGGCGAACGATGGCACCAGTTTTGGTGCCTTGCATTGACATTATCATTGTTCGTATCACGACGGCTGCTGCAGTTGTGCTACACCTTGTTGATCCACCTTCGAGCTCTTGTTCATATTCGTTCGTCCTGCATCTACTGCTGCTGCTGCTGCTGCTGCTGCTGCTGTTGGTAGTCCTCCGCCTCAGCCTCCTATCGTGTCACTGCTGCACAACCCAGTAGTTACAACGACGACTCGGCCAAACGCGCACGATGCCCAGCTGTGATACCCAGCTAATGCACATGTCGGTTACATACACATCCACCGATACACAGGTTCGCTGGTACAGTGCGCAGACGTACATGCAAGTGTAAATATATGCACACAAGTGGTTGACCAGGTTTTCGGGTTTTTCCGCGTTGCAAATACAAGGCAACGAAAACCTGCCTTATTGCCTGATCTCTTGTTCTTGTGGCGTCGTCGCCATCAACATGACTTTCAGCAACATCATCATGGCCACTATGTCGTCATCGTCAGCGTGATCATCACCGTCATCAACATCATCATCATCATCATCATCATCATCATCACCGCCATCAGCATTATCTTCACCACCGTGGCCATGATCACCGGCCGTCATCACATCATGTGCTTAGTCGTCGCGACAGTAATCACATGTAGTTTCATACATCATCACCAACATCATCAACATCATAATCATCATGGTTGCCATCTTTGCACAGTGCTCGTGGTAGTAGTACCTACATTGCGGTTCATGGCAGTTTCACGTCGTTTCTATTGGTGCCGGAGTTTGCCCATGTTCGTCCCTAAACCCTAAACCCCAAACCCTAAACCCTACACCCCAAGCCCTAAACCCTAAACCCTAAACCCCAAACCCTAAACCCTAAACGCTTAACCCTCTGACATGCTATATGGAGCCCGCCCGAGGTTTCTCCTCTTTGGATTCGCATCCTTCGCCTTTGTGGTGCCGGCTTCGAACCGCATTTCGCTGGTTGGGGCGCCTGAGTTGCTATGGGCTTCTTCAGGTTGAGAGTGGGCACTTAGTGACTTAGTGCTCCTCATAGTCCGGATATTTAGTTCAGGATCTATATTTGTTTTCAGTGATTGTCTGGAGCCTCTTGAACCGAGATAGCAGCAATTGCAGCAAGTGAAGCTACGTGCTCAGCCCTAAACTCCCTAAGCCCTAAACTAGGTAGACCTTTTGGGACATTTGATGTTTTCGTTTGTTTTCGCCTAAGAGGTTCTCATTATACGAACATGTTTCAAAGGCTTCAAAGGCCAACCCAGTAGAAGGCAAAGACAGTGCCCAGCAAGGTTCGCCATGGGCTCCGGCACGGCCTGGCCGGGAAGATGAAGGTTTCGAGTTGCTGGCTCATTCTGGCCCTAAAGATTCTGTAATATGTTATATTATATTTCCTTTCCTCTTGAGTTAGGTATTATACAAGACATGTTAGAGTAGAATAGGGTGGTACAAGCCTTATTCCTCAACTTCGCGCGGTTCCGTCAACCAAGATTCCGTCAACCGCGCTTCCTTCAACCATGTTCCCCGCTTCCCTCAACTCAGATGTGCCGATTCTTTCAACCCCCATCGCCCGCTTCCCTCAACCCGGATATTGCCGATTCTGTCAACCCCCATCGCCCGATTCCATCAACGCATACTGTGCTGATTCCGTCAGCTCCGCCCCCCCGGTTAGGGTTGAGTGAGTACTCGTGGTTGGGGTAGCACGCGTGTCTGTAGTTGGAGCGACTCTTTCCGTATGGGTTGAACGAAGCAGTTGTTTGGGTTGAAGGAATCATTCCCGGGGCCATGGTTGAGTGAATCTGCGTGCTGGGGTTGAAAGAATCAGGTTGTGTATGGGTTGAACGAAGCAGTTCTTTGGGTTGAAGGAATCATTCCCTTGGACATGGTTGAATGAATCTGTGTTCTGAGGTTGAAGGAATCAGGTTTTGAGGTTGAAGGCATCCGCGTTTCCGGGTTGACAGAATCCGCGGGCGCAACAGGTATCATGGGGACTAGTGCAGAAGTACTTGCTGGAAGGTGGATATAAGGGCCGGCCAGCAAGCACTCTTCTGTTGGTATTCCTAGATACAGTTCAATGGTGCCCTAAACCCCAACCTCAAGTCGTGAACCTGAAATTCCGTTGCGCTGTTCCAGGAGCCTGATCGGTGCAGAATGGCCCTGAAGGCCTTTGACGGAGGATTTGATGTTCTGACGCAGCCGCTGGGAAATGATTCATCTCGGTGTAACTCTGCAGCTCTGTACAACTGTATAACTCTGCATATCTGTATGCCTGCGCCTTCATGAAGCGACCGTTCTTATGTTTGAATGTGTGCATGCACGTATGAACGAATAGATAGATGAACTAGTGGATAAATGCATGAGTGCATGCATGTATGCGTCCGACTCGATGGCTAAGCCCTAAACACCCTAAAGCCGCAACCACTAAGACAAACCCTAAGCCTGAAAAACCTGGACCCGGATTTTCAACCGAGCTCTCCCTGCCAGCATCTGAGGTCCAGGGCCTTGGGTCTTAGGGCTTTTCGGGTCTAGGGAAACTTCAAGCCCTTGCATCTTGGAGGTTCAGGGCGCAGGAGGCTTCGTATCTGAGCTTTGATGAAGACCCCGACCTTATTCGGAACTCAGGAGTGAAGATCCGAAACCCTGAAGCCCACGGAAAGCTCCAATGAAACCCTTGAGAAGCGCTCAGCTCCACTGAAGAAGCTTACCCTACTTCCGTCAGAAGACCTCCGCTTGCGACGCTGCATAGCTCAAAGGGGAGAAGGAGGGACCCTTCATGGGGACCCCTACCCTAGAATGGGCTATATCATGGGCATATATTAGCTATATTAAGGGTATATACCTAGGGGTCCTTATTAAGGGTCCCTCCTTTTACCCTTGGAATAGCCCAGGCTGCTTACACTGAGCTTGGCGCTGTCTCCGGCGGTCATGTACGAGTTCTTGCCCGGACGCTGGGCTTCTTGCAAATCCGGGCATTCAGGGTTTAGCGTTTAGGGTTTCAGGGGTTGTTGCTTACCATGTTTTGGAGGTTTTAGGGTTGGAGCTTTGCGGTCTTTTTTCAGGGTTTTGGGTATTGGCCCTTGGGACTTGGTTTGGCAGCTTCTACTAGGTTCGGTACGCAAATCGTCCCAGTATTGAAACACCCTACCCGATGTCACTGCCCAGAGACTCCAATACCCCTTAATTAGGGAATATTCCTTAAATCATATTAGGGATCCTACTATAATTTAAGGTATATTCCTTAATTAAGGGCTATTGGAGTCTCTGGGTGGGACGTTTGCATGCAGAAATTCAGTAAAGAAAGCTCTAGAGGACGAGCCGGGGGACTTACTCGTTGCAGAATCCTTATCGTTATAATGATTTTTATGTTGCAAGATGTTGCTAATCCTGTGGCCAGCAGAACCCCCAAGTGCAGGCAATGAGCTTCTGCAGCCTCACTGCAACTATTGCTTTCTTCTCGCTGCTGTTCGTGTTGCTTTGGTTCTTCTGTTGTTTCTCCAAAACCCTACAGCCCTACCCCCTTCAAATTGATAAACACCCGAAACCCCTAAACCCTAAACGCCAGAAAACCCCCAAGCCCTAAAGCCCGAAATCCCGAGACCCGTTCCGACGCCTTGTCAGGGTGGATGCCTGATGGCCACGCTGCCGGTGTCGCGCTGCAAGAAGATTCCTCGGAGCTCCAGCTTCTCTCTGAGGCCTTTCGTTGGTTTTTTTAAATATTGCTATTGCTATTAAGGGTTAGTGTTTAGGGTTTTAGGGGTTTTAGGGGTTTAGGATGCTTTGAGGGCTCTGTCCGCTTGCAAGGGTTCTTCAAGGGCCTCTTTAGGATTTCGGGTTTCTTCTTGGTTTTATATAAGGGCTCTACAAAATTTGCCTTTGTCAGTTTCTGGCTCTACAGGCTTTAAGGATGTTTGATAGATCTTGTACGGGCCATAAGGGTCAAGATGCGTTCAAAAGGTTCCTTAAAGGGCTCTGCAGAAAAGGTCCGAGGCATTGACATGTCTTTTGATAAGGCGATATCAGTGGTTCCGAGAACTCAAGCACCTGCAGCGCAATCCCTAGAGCCCTTTCCAAACAAAGACCCGACCCCAGACACCAAACCCTAAGCACTTAGTGTAACCTTCGTCGAAACCTATAACAACCTTTTTGGAACCCGATGGTAACCCTTTCAAAGCCCTATAGTGCAACCCTTATCGAATCCTGTCGTAAACCTTATAGATTCATTTAGTGACCCCTTTTCGAACCTTATAGTGCAACCCTTGAGTAAACCTTATACAGATTCCTTCAGTGACCCTTTTAGAACGACCTCCAGGACTTGAAGGATTCGAGCCTGGACTCGATCCTGGTAAGGCTTGCGCGGCTGCTGGGACGGTCGGACACCTTTCTGAGGCCCGGTTTAGGGACGGCGGTAGTTTCGTGTTTCCAGGAGGTTATAAGGTTCTCAGGGGGGGTTTTCGGGCTTGAAAAAGTAGTTGGGGTTTAAGCCCTAAACCCTAAACCCTAAACCCGAAACCCTAAACCCTAAACGTTTAAGGGCTTTGTCCGGGGTCAGAGTGGCAAGCCGGACATGCACGAGCGCAGTCGAAGGCTCCAGAAGCCTCTGTCTTCCCTGAACTACATCGCGGCCGCGGCTTGTATGCATGCAGGTTTATTGTGATCAGTTCCATCTTCACCATCCCTGGCGACCAAGTCAGCCCGCAATCGCTGTCACCATCACGATGATAATAAGGATGATGATGATGGTGATGATGATGAAGAAAAAGATGATGAAGAGTGCAGTCCTGGTGACGAGGGTCGAGGTGCTGATTGCACGCAGTCGCAGCGGGTCATCTCAGATTCTACAATTGTCGGGCTTCATGTTGCTGTGAAGATGCTGTCGTTGTCCGTGTTCTGAGAAAAGTTTCTCCCTCAACCCTAAACCCCAAACCATAAACCCCCGAAACTTTGCTCCGCAGGTCGCATAGTGTCCTCATGCCGAGGCAGTTCTTGCCTACAATCTCTTCCTGGCACCTTCTGGAGACTCGGGGTTCTCTCAGAGAGCGGTTTATTTTTTTGATGCTTAGGTGCCCTAAACCCTCAACCCTAAGTCCTAACCCCTTAGCCCTAAACCGTGGCGACGGTATGCACAAAGGATCTTTGGCGTGGGATTCTCGGGGAGTTGGTTTCGGACTCTTAGTCTTCGCATGGTCATCCCAGATCAGCCCCCAGGCCTACAGAGACCTTCCCAAACTTAATAGATTGTAACATAACATAATATGGCAGAATATACTATAATGTGATTTAGTATACTGTGCCATAGTATATTATAATTTCAACAGATGATACAATATAATATAATACGGTATCGTTTCATATACTATATGATTGTGAAAAGACATTGTGAAATAATGTGATACAACAAAGTATGATATGATATGATCTAGCATAATATAACATAACATAACAGAACGAATTTCGAATATAGCTCTAGCGCCTAAACTCTTAACGCAGTCAACCTGTACTCTATTCTTCATGCTCAACCCGAAACTTGCCTCAGCCCTAAGCCAAAAGCTTAATCCCAAGCCCTAAAATCAGAAACCCAATCCAAAGCACTAAACTCTAAACTTCAAACCAAAACCCTGCGACCTCAAAACCCCATTCCTGACCTGAACAACCGAACACCTTTAGGGTTAAGGTTTTACGGAACCTAATATATGGGCCTCAATAATTGGACTCGGGTTTTAGGGGGTATTATACTATTACTATATTAAGGAACCTCCAAAAGACTATAGGTATAATTCTTAAGACACCTATAGTATGAGGGTTTTGCTAATAGTGTAGGCAGAGTATGAAGGAACCCCGCACGGACCACCGCAAGGCTTCCCGGCTCGGCTGCCGGAGCCCCTCTTCGGCCTCTGCTCTGTGGGGCTGGGTCTGCTCATTCTGCGTCTCGACGGACTTGAGGCTTCAGGGTTTCGGGTTGAACCCTAAACCCTAAGCCTAAGCCCCTGAGACGCGATTTGCATAACTTTGGTGTGCACTCAATGAGTCCGACCATCCCCTCAAAAAAAAGCCTAAGCCCGGGTTAGGGGTTGAGGTTTGAGGGCGCAGTTTTCGAGACTCAGGAGGGTGTTTAGCAGTTTATAGGGTTTCCGGCTGAAGATGCGTTCCAATTTAGGGCAGTGGTGGTGCTAGTGGCACCCGAGGGAGGAGGAGTGTAAGTATTATGATCAGTGTTGTGAGAGGTTTTTGTATGGAACTCATCTCAGAGGCTGGGAGTTGAGTTCTACGTGGAGTTTCGCAAAGCATTGATGAGGGTCTATGTGGGCTTTGTCGTGGATGTTTGGTGGCAGACCCGGAGAGCCCAATACTCCTTAACTTAATTGAGGAATATAGCTTAGATCATAATATGAATCCCCTTATAATTTAAGGTATATTCCTTAATTATAATATGAATCCCCTTATATTTTGAGGTATATTCCTTAATTAAGGGGTATTGGGCTCTCTGGGGAGTTGACTTGAATGAGGTCCCGCGTGAGCTCGGCGACTGAGCGCTTCAGCGCAGCCCGGAGCTTGTGGGCGGATGTAGTGAGCGCGATCAGGACCTCCAGGGTTTTATAGGGTTTAGGGTTGGTTTAGGGTTTAGGGTTTAGGGTTCTAGAACCCTAAACCCTAAACCCCACAGCAGGGGTATTCTCAGCCTCCGTCGTACTTAGCAAGGCTGCTGCCGAGTTCTTGAACTGCAGTTGTTGCGGCATGGTGGCTCTCGACCCGCCTCCACCCCCCTTCCCCCGCGGCAATGGTTCCCCTGTCCCTGTGGCGTGGTGTGGCGTGGTGGCGGCTTACTTCCCCCCTCCCTGTGGTATGTTGTGGTCCGGGAGTGGGTCTGCTTGTTGTGGTTCCCTCCCTCCCTCCCCTGTGGCATTGTTTTGGTTTGGGCTTTCTTGCGGTTACCCCTTGAGTCTTTGGGTCTGCTTTGGGTGTTTGGTATATTCATCCCCATGATAAGAATGATGATGATGGGGACACTGATCGCCATCTTCATCATTAACTCCAACATCTTAATGTTTGTCTGGTTGGTGGTCGGATGTCTTCTGCCCACGTGCCTGGTATCGATTGTGGCTTTATTGATCGTAGGGCCACTATCTTCGTGACAGTTGTCGCTTTGGGGGCAATTGCTACAACGTTGCAACGGTCTAGCTGTCACAGCGATTGGGCCTGTCAGGGAAGGGGGTCCTCGTGATAGTTGGATTGTTCAAGACCCTCATGTCGGAGTAGTTTTTCTTTGGGAAGTGTCCACAGTCACAAGGATCGGGCGTGTTTGGGACGCGATCCTCGTGACAGTTGACAGCTTTGGCGGCCTCAAGTGTGAATCGTGCAGGAAAAGTTGTACTGTCACACCGATCGCGCGTCTTCGGGACGCGATTCGCGTGACAGATGACGGTGTTGGGGCCCTCATATGCAAAAGGTGTGCGCGGTCACACAGACTAGGCTTGGGGAGGGGGTGGGTGGGAGGAGGATACCATTTGGGGGGGAACCGGGATCATACATGAACAGGTATTGGTCTGTCAATCGATTGATCGGTCCATCTATATATCAGTCTGCTTATCGCTCTATGTAGCTAGTCATTAATGTGTGTATTTTGTCTATCTGGCTATATCGCTATATGCCTTTCGCTGCGTGTCTGCCGACCTGCTTGTATACGTGATATGTACACACGGCCACAAAGATATGTACATCTAAAGGTATTTGCACGCACACGCCCTACCAGACACATGCATGTATATATATATATATACACATACATGTAGACGTGTGTGCCATTGTGTATATGTAGATGCAGTTAGTGGATATGTACTTGGGCACAGATACATATTCGCATATATCTATATATACGTGTGTATATATATACACACGTATATATATATATATATATGTATATATATATATATATATATATATATATACATACATACATACATATATACATATATATATATATATATGCATGCAGATGTATTCGTATGCGTATGTATGTATGTATGTATGTTTGTATTCGGGGTGCCAACACGGCATGCTTCCAAGAGAAGCCGGCTTTGCCGCCCTTAGCATCGCGAGACTCTCCTCGCGGCGACGGAAGAAGTATGTTTGTATGTGTATGTATCTGTGCATTTTCTACTACTTCTTTATTATTAAGGTTCTACGTTACATCATACCGTATCATCTTCTATTATGTTATATCGTACGACATTTTATTTGTAATACAATCGTAGAGTTTGTCATATCATATTGTATTGCTTCACTTCACATTGTATTTCGTTCTATCAGACTATGTTGCAATGTGCTACATCATATTATGTTTTTATTTGCTTTTTGTTTTTGATATGACACTATGCTGTACTATACTGTTTTATACGCAGTACACCAGACTTTGCTAGACTATGCTCTATCGTGTCTGATTTTGCATGAAGGTTTTTTGCCATGGTATGACGTATTGTATTACAATACGACATACATTACATTGTATTGCATTATACTATCGTGCTTGTTGGATGTTTTATGTGTATACGGCAGCACAAACAAACATACGTAGGTGCATATGTACATACATAAAATACACACAGACGCGCTCGCACACCCACACAAAAACGGTTGACTATGGACCCATGGACGAAGCAGGAATCTGAGTCGACAAGCTCACTTGTGGGCAGGCAGTGGCTCGACTGAAGGAACAGTCTTTGGCTTCAGTCTGGGTCTAAGATTCGAGATTTGGGATTTACGCTGTTGAGGCTTAAGCTTCGGAATGTGTTTTTTGACACTCCCGCTTGGGGTTTGAGGTCTAGGATCTCTGATGTTAGCGTTTCGGTTAAGGATCGAGGGCTGAGGGCTTTGTGGGATGCAAGGTCCACAGTTCAGAGTAGCGAACTGTCATGCAGCACAGGAGATGAGTTCATCAAGTTCTCCAGGTGGTTGCCAGCGACTCTTGGACTCACGAGCCAGGTTTTACTTTTTTACTCCTTGTCTGGTGAACTGCGACCCCAAACCCTATTCTAAACCCAACTAGAACGAGACCTGCTTTCTAGCAGGCATAAACCCCCGAATGTGGAAACCACCAGAGCTCCTTGCAGGCCGGCTAGGCAGAGCAAGATCAGAGAAGTCCAAGCATGCAATTCCTGAAGAGTACCCCCCCACCCGACCCAGAACCCTCAACCCTAAACCCCGATTTCTGCCGCCTAACCATTCTCTACCTTTAAGCCTTAGCCATCTTTTTGGAGCTTTTTGGGGCGCTGGGGCGAGGCTTCCCGCCGCGATGCTCTGCCACCTGCGGCACGCGGAGCCCGAGCTGGGCGCGATGCTCCGAGCGTCGCGAGGTTCAAGGGCTCTGCAGGCCGCCCCCCTTATCCTTAGTAGCAGGAGTAGCAGGAGGAGTAGTAGTAGTAGTAGTAGGAGTAGTAGTAGTAGTAGGAGGAGTAGTAGTTGGAGTAGTAGTAGGAGTTGGAGTAGGAGTCGGAGTTGTCAGTGGGATAGAGAAAGATGATAGGAGGGTGCTGATGAACAGCAGGAAGCAGGAATGGCCAGAGAGTTTCAGATGTCCTTGTTGTCGCATGTCGCAGGCCGCAGACAGCAGCCTGAGCGACCGGGAAATCGAGGAGGCGCCGGATCAAGTGTTCAATGTTGTGCGGGAAAGTTGCCATTGCTGTGTTTACGACAGGCTTGAGCATGATATGTGTATAGGCTCTGGGTGTCGATGATGATGATGGTACGGATTTTCTAGTAGCTCTTTGGCTGGTTCGTCTGCTGTCGTACATCACATGCTTCTAAAATAGGTGAGTGTACATGATATGTCTCGAGGGTGTCTGTATAGGGATGGTGCGCATGAGAATCTCACTACCCCCCAAAAAACCCACAGAGTAACCCCTAAACCCGGGATGCCTTCAGCTCCGGAGGTGATTGGCCGGCCTGAGGGAATGTCCTCCCCCCGCTACGTCTACCTCCGGATCATGGCCCGAGACTTTTCATTGGTTCAGGGATAGGGGTTTCTTGGGTCGAGGGTTCAGGGTTTAGTGATGAGGCTTGAGGGAGTTTGGATTGGGGTTTACCCGCGGTAAGGGTTGGGGTTTAGGAGTCAGGGGTTCGGGTGTAGGCTTTAGGATTGAGGGTTGCAGCAGCAGCAAGATAAGTTGCGGGCTTTCAGACTTGAGGTTTACGCATTTTAGGAGCATGCATACCTATTTGTGCCTATGTATATATATATATATGTATATATGTATATCTCTATGCACACATACATGCATACATGTCTACGCACACACACGCACACATATACGTATGTGTGTATATATATATATGTATGTATGTATATGCCAACATATATGAATGCAAAGTGTGTGTATATATTTATATACGTATACATACGTATACGTATACATATACATATACATATGCATATACATATACATATACATATACATGTACATATGCATATACATATACATATACATATGCATATACATATACATACACATATACATATACATATACAAATACATATGCATATACATATACATATGCATATACATATAGATATACAAATACATATGCATATACATATACATATACATATACATATACATATACAAGTACATATGCATATACTTATACACATGCATATACATATACATATACATGTACAAATACATATGCATATACATATACATATACAAATACATATGCATATACATATACATATGCATATACATATACATATGCATATACATATACATATACATATGCATATACATATGCATATACATATACATGTACGTATATATATGTATATATTTATACCTATGGTGCTTCGGCCTCAAAGGAGTGACGTCGCTGTGAATTGGGGAAGCTGTCGCTCGCGTAGCAAGGACCGTGGAGCCTCAGGTGTATGAGGCTCCCAAATCCTAAACCCTAAACCCGAAACCCGAAGCCCTAAAAAAAAACCGAAGCCCCTAGATTCCAAAGTCAAAACCCTAAACCTCTAAACCCTTAAACTCGAAACCCCAAACCCTAAACCTCTAAACACAAAAGCTCACTTAGAGAACTACCCACATGATCCTTTGGATGCGGGATCCGGGATGCCATTTCTCGGAAAAAGCAGGGAGAGCAGGATTCTGGGTTCCTTAACGGGTTCTGCTATACCGGTTACTATACAGGTTTATATGGGATTAGTTTATTTCTTAGGGTGGTCGGTGGTTTTGGGGTCCCTTCTTCCACGCCTAGTAGATTGGTCTGAATGGCGAGCAAGTATCCACCGACAGTCCCTGCATAGCTAGATGATAATATACCCGAAAGCCGTAATCCGTCCGAAAGGCCCCTATATCACGTAAATAAGGGCTTGGAATTTCAGGGCCGTGTCTGCTCCCTAAAGCCATCGCCAAAGACGTGAATCCCTACATCCCAAGCCCCTAGTCTTAAAACTAACCTTCAACTCCAAACGCGAAAGCAGGCCCTTGTTGCTTGGCTCTAAGCTTGAAGCCGTACATAGTCCCTAACGCTGGAACCCCTTATCCCAAGTTTGTAACTCCAACCTACACCTCCCCCACTCCCCCCCAAACTTACCTTTGGTTAGTACTGTAGGGAATGGAAGAATGAAAGTAATAGTAGTTATCATTGTACCCCATTCCTCCATTCCCTACTAACCAAAGCTAAGTTATAGGATTACTAAGGCCCCTATATTATAGTACCCTTATAGATATTATAGATCCCTTACAGTAACCCTTCTCGACTAACCAAAGGTAAGCAAACTATGCCCCCCTGGGGCCTCGCCAGAGGCGCTGTCAACGGAGCTGGAGGTCCCGGAGCTGCAGAAGACGGCGCTGGAGAATGAGCTGCCGGGGCCCCTTTGGGGGGACTCCTTGCTGCCGTTGCCGACACTGTGGAGCATATCTCAGAAAGTATCTAAATGTGTGTGAGCATAAGTATAAATGTCTATAATTGTATTTGTATATATGCATATATGCATATCTACTTATGTATATCTCCGTGGGTGTTGTTCTGTCAGAGTATATGTTTGTTTCATGTCTTATTGTATTACAGCATTGTGCACTCATACAGGCTTATACTTCTACCGCAAAGGACCCAAAACCCAAAACCCTGAACCCTAACCCTAGACCCCTGAACCCAAAACCCAACACCCTGAGCCCTAAGCCCTCCACCCTAAACCCTAGACCCCTGAACCCCTAAACCTAGACACCTGAACCCCTAGACCCCTGAACCCTAGACCCCTAGACCCTAAACCCCTAGACCCCTAGACCCCTGAACCCTAGACCCCTAGACCCCTAAGCCCTCAACCCACATCGACGAGTACAAGTGTGGATGATGTTTCACCCTTGAGGGCAACATGCCAGCGCTTTTTCGGAGAAAGGGTGCAGTTCAATTTAAAAAACCCTCAACCCAAAAGCCTAAGCTGAATGTAAGCTCAGGTCCCGCCTTGGTGAGGCTTTGACTGCCTGCGAGCGGTCTTCCGCGGAGGCGGGGCCGCCAACGACTTGGGGTGTAGGGTTTGTGGCTTTCGGGGTTTAGGGTTTAAGGGTTTGAGATAAGGGTTTAGGGTTGGTATAGGGTTTGAGGGTTTAGGGGTTTCGGGGTTTAGGGTTTGGGGTTTAGGGTTTGAATTCCCGAAGCCTTGCAACCCTAACGTAGAGGCCTGAAGACTTAGTAAACATGTCCAGAGAATATTATGCCATGGTCCCTGTATGTTTATACTATGTTTATTTCGAACAATCTTATGGTCCCATTAACTCATTCTGCTGTACTTATTACTAGCAGTCATGTAATGTTTCCGGGTCCACCCATGCTCAGGTCATACAGCACTACACCAGGCAGACAGCGCGTGGCGTGCCAAGCTGTTGGTTTTGGAGAGACTCTTGCGGTTTAGCGAAGGAAAGCTGCATTGACGGGGGGTGCCTACTAAGGACTCCTTTTCCTGTGGCTGGCACTTCTTCCCTTTGCATTGCCAAGCCAACTTGGGGTGGCGCTCTTAGAGTTGCAGAGAAGACACTTTGACAGGTCAGGCGCAAGTGTGAAGATGCAAAACTGCTCAAACGCTAAACCCTTCGACCCTCAAACCCTCAAAACTCTGTCCCCTAAGACCCTTAAGCCCTGAACTCTGGACCTCTTCATCCTACACCCTGAGACCCTGAACCCCGTAAGCCGATCCGCCTTTGCCTAGACGCAACATGCTTGCACTTGGGGGTGACACTCTAGGTAGACAAAAACCCTGCAACTGTCGTGTCCGGCATTGTTAAAAGCATGCAACATTCGTGCCCGGCTCTGTTATCTGGCTCAGGTTGGCGCAGTCCTCAGCCATCAGCTCATCGCCTTCGGCTTGCTCGGTGTCTCGCCGAAAAGGAAGACGCCACACCAGTACTTCTGGCACTCGTGCCAGCAATGCCACGACTGCTGCTGCGACCGCTGCCAGTACGACGGCGACGACGACGACTACTACGACTACTACTACAACGACGACTACTACGACTACTACGACTACTACGACTACTAGGACTACTACGACTACTACGACTACTACGACTACTACGACTACTAGGACTACTACGACTACTACGACTACTACGACTACTACGACTACTACGACTACTACGACTACTACGACTACTACTAATACTACTAATACTACTAATACTACTAATACTACGAGTACTACTGCTAGTGCTACTAGTACTGCTGCTGCTGCTGCTACTACTACTACTACTCCTACTCCTACTCCTACTCCTACTCCTACTCCTACTCTGTGAATACAAACTTCCCCTTACGGGACTTCGTCGTCTAGATCTCAGAAACGTGTTTCACACAGGAGTAGGCTCAACGAACCATGGCGCACGCGATCCGAATTCTTTTTACTGCAAACCACAAAGTCGACATGCGCTTCTGTGCACAGCATGACGATAGCCTAAGCTCGTGGTATGTGGCTTCTGCCGATCATGGCACGTTGCCGCTGGCTTCTACCGATCATGGCATGTCGCCGTTGGCTTCTGCCGATCATGGCTCCAACCTTTCTGAAGCCATCCGCTGCAAACAAGTAGACCCTCACTTGCACAAGCTCCACTCATGCACACTATACATAAAAAGGGGGTCAGGGTCATCAACACCCCTCCTTGGCATGGGCGTTAGGTCACTGCCATTTACATTGGCCTTTCCGTGACCTCCTTTTGCCCTGGTATGCACTTAGCACACACCTCCTTCTGTATGAACTTCGTCGATCGATTCAATGTGCTGCAATCTCTCGTAGCATGCACACACGTTCCAGAGGGAGTTACGAACACCACTTTTGGCATCTCCTTCAGCATCTGGACCTGAGTTCCAACCGATCGTGACTTGTAGGTCCTGGTTTCAGCTGACACCTGCTCCGGAGCGGGGTAGAAGGTCGACGTAGTCCTCCTTGCCCGCTCGTCTTCCTCAACGATGTCCTCGTAGGTAGGTGGTGGAGGCGGAGGCGACGGTTGAGAACGCCGTTCGCGTCTTCCATTCCTCAGGAATTCTTCGTCTGCCGCACAAGCACTGAAGGGGCTTGGTGGCGGTGGGGGTACCTCACCTCCACCTAGAACAGTACTTGGAGTAGCGAACTGTGGCCCTTCGGTTCCAGCAAGGATTCCTGAAAGATCAACTCCGGTTGCCTCGGCCAACTGGATCATCCGTTCTTTCTCATGTCCTTGCAGTTGGGCGGGATTCCGCCTCAGTAGACCATTCAATTCGCGCATCTCCTTCTTGGACAGCTTTTGGGATTCTTGAAGAGACCTCAAGCGCATCGCCTCACCGCGGTTTCGCCAGCACACTCTTCCACATTCCCATAAAGCAATAAAGCATATTCCCAGCATCAACACCACGCCGTACAGCTCCAAGGACGAATCCACAGCCAGAGCAGTTGGGGCTTCCGGGTTAGTAACCTCACCACTAGCCTTAGCTAAGTTTAGGAGAATAACAATAAGTCCCAAACAACAACCCAGGCCTTCGGGATTCGGATGTGGTGCTGTGGGTGTCGGTGTGTGTTCTGCTGGCTGGTGCTGCTCCAGTGTCCGTTGCTCGGTCCTTTGTTGCTCTGGGTTCTGTTGTTCTGCTGAAGCTTGAACTTGCCGTAGGCGAACATGATCTCCAGCTGCCGACAATCCCCAGAACAACATCATCTGGTTCATTCTTTGCGACGCCAGTAGCTTCGTGAGTCCATCCGCCAGCTGTTGATCGCCCGGGCAGTACACAACCTCGACCCAGCCTTGTTCAACCTTCTGGCGTAGAGCTCGATGTCTCACTTTCAAATGACGTGTCTTCCAACTCCCACCTTCGGAAGTCGCCAGTGTTATTGCTGCAGCATTATCCACGTAGATCACCCGCTGCTCCGGAGTCTCGCCCATATCCGTGAGAAGAGCATCTATTGACTCCATCTGTTGGCACCCATGATGAGCTGCCACTAATTCCGTCTCCGCGGAACTCGTAGTGACCAACTGTTGGCGCGAAGTCCTCCACGCGATAGGACATGTTCCCCAAAACGTAACGGCGCCTCCATGACTCCGGTCTCCGTCCGGAGCATAGGAAGAGTCCGTGTAGGTCACCAACGTAGGGCTTCCACCGGTCCAAAACCTCAGTCTCCACGAGCTCGTATGGTTTAGGTAGGCCAAGGCCTTTCGGCCTATTGCAGCAACCCGCACTGGGTCTCGGGTAGTCAGGCTCGCCATAATGCTCACCACATATGCTAGATCCGGTCTACAACGCTGGGCCATCCAGGCGAGTTCGCCTGTAAGGGATTGTGCCAGCTTGAGGTCCTCCGGCCTAAACGTAGGTGGGTCCTGATCAGCCGATAACGTAAGGGTTTCCTTCGTGGCCGGCAGCAACGACTTCTCCTCGGGTTTCACGTTCCGGTGTCGTAGTACTTCTTGAAGATAGCCCTCTTGGTCCAAGGTGTACCCTTCAAACTCCCCGGACTCAGTTCGAGCTTCTCGCACTTCCATTCCAAGGAAACGGATTGGTGAGGTAGAGGAGGCATATTGAATGGGCGTAGTTTCCCACGTATCCGCCAACCACTTGTAAATGTCCTCGCAGATCTCCTTCGGCGCAGCAATGAAGAAATCATCCACGTAGATTATGACAAGGCCGAGAACGGCCCCTTCTCCATTTCGCACCTGCCAGACCTCAGAGTCTGCAACTCCTTGGTGGAAGGTCAAGCCGCCCGGTGTGACCGCCTGCTTCATAATGCCTGTCCTGTGACAGCCCCACCAGCGAGGACTACTTCTAAATCCATATAGTGCCATATGCACTGACCACAACTCGCTGGGGTCAGCTAATCCAGCGCGCACAAGAACTGCTGGTGGCCTCAACGCCAATCGCGTGCCCTGCGGCACAGGCGCCCGTAAAAAGGCGCTCACCACATCTCCTGTGCAAATGGCCCATATTCGCCTTGCCGCTTGGGCAACACCAAGTCTCACCGCCTCCGCAGCAGCTCCGCCGGAGTAGTTCTGCTCCGAGTCGTCCTTCGCCTGGAAGTTTCCACAGCCCACAATACGGGCTTTGCGACGATAATTGGAGCCCGGTTTGTTTGGGGGCTTCACCGTGTAGACGGCCTTCCCCGGCACCACCTGAACTCCTGGTAAGTTCAAGTAGTCCTTCGCAGCCTGCCCTACCAATCTCTTGATGGCGCCAATGTCCTCGAGAGTACTCATCCCGGCCTTCAGGGCTGGAATCCAACTGGGAAGGTGCTGATCTACTTCACGAGGGTGGACTGTATGAACAACACGTAGTTCATCTTGTAGTGATTCTAAGATCTCCTCAATGCCATAGGTGTAGAGGTTGTCTGCAGCCGCCTTTGCGCATCGAACCACATCCTCATCTACTTCGGCTGGGGAGTCTTTTCCACCAAAGTTGTGAACTACATCTTCGTCTTCAATCACCCACGGTAAATGCAAAGCCTCCCGGTGTTCTTGTACTTCAGCTCGCTTCATGATGTACTCCTCATCCTCGGTGTCGGGGATCTGGAAGCCCATTTCTATCAGTTCCTGAAGCTCTTCCTCCTTAAGCTTTTTCCATCCACCAACGGTGTGCGCAGCTAAAAGAAGCCTCGGTCCTTCACTTGGTTGTACTGCACAATGGAGCCGATGAGGTCTGACCTTGACATTTCCCTTTAGGCTGTGAACTTGACCTGGTACTTCGCGACCCTTATGCCACCTGGTTTCATAGCTTCCCAGAAATTGATCACCAGGATAAAGCTCCTCCCAAACCGCTGCATCACCCGTCACATCCAAAGGGATAACCAGGTTATAGGTTTTGCGATCATTGAAGCAATCTCGGTGAACAGGCATACAAGTATCACGAACAATCGTCACAGAGGAGAACACCTCTTCAGGAAAGGCCAGGGTAACCAACTCGCACACCTTCTTCGCCAAGTTCTGGTGGTCCTTCGTTGCATTGGTGACACCAACTACCCCACCATGTTGGAAGGCTCCCAATGTGACGTACGAGCTCTCAGGTTGAAGTTCTTGGGATTGTAGTTGAGGACGATTAACTCCGCCAAGGGAGTCGCCATTCTTGAGAAACTCCACTATCTCCCTTCGCAACTTCCCTTGCACTTCTCGTGCCTCCTTCACAGACATCGCCTTTATCTTCAACCCGTCCTTGTCCACCGTAGTCTTTGCTGACAATCTTCTCCTGGGCGGCGGTTCAACCTTCAACTCCGGCTCCTGGTCGATAGTGCCTGGGTCCACAAGTTTTGCCCTCACATGCGTAGACACCGTGAAGCGGTTGGTCTCATCCTCGAGTATTGCAGAGCCCTGGTTAACGTCCCACACCGGTCCCATGTAGGTTCCCTTAACCCATCGAGGTAGTAGATCAAGTTTTCCGCCTTGGCCGTAGTATTTTTTCTTTATCGCCACCTTCGTGCCATACGCAGGGGGTACACTCGTGGCTTCTGGTCGCAAACAATCTTCACGTTGACGATGTGCTGCTGTAGCCATGGCGGTGGCCCAGTGTTGTGGATGTAGTCCAGCAGATCGTAGTAGCGAACGTGCCCGCCCCTTTAGGAAACGAACGGCTCGCTCAGCCGTTCCATTGGACTGGGGGGACTGGCCCTCCGTCCGCGTGAGGAGGATATTGTTGTCTAAGGTCCACTGACGAAGGCTTTCCGATCTCAACTCGTGGGCCCGGTCCGCATGAACCCGAACCACAGGAAGGTTCTCCATTCGTAGTTGTAGAACCACTTCTTGTATCGCCTTGAGGACATGCTTCCCGCTCTTCCCCTTCAAAGGCTTGAAGTAGTAGAGAAAGTCCGTCTGAACCTCCGCGTTCCCCTCCTCATCTTCCGTGGACTTCGCATCCTTTTCCTGTTCGATGGCCGCCAAATCATCATCGTCCCACAGTCCATTGGTGCCGTGAACCTTCTTCATTGCCGGGTCTTCATTGACATCTGCCTCCGAAGGTTCGTACTCGGCAAGCTCATCTTCATCCCATACACCGCCTTGTGCACTGAACTCGTCGTCCGCTATCCCTCCAGGGTCGACCTCCCCCTCCTCAAGCGTAGAGAAGTCGTAGTCCTCATCGGCAAGGGGCGGGTCCTCATCAAGCGGCTCTAAGTCTGAGAAGCGGGGCTTGGTGTAGGATGCCGCCAGGAAGTACTTGTACCCAGAGCCGTGTGCATCCTTGCTGGGGAATCTCAAAGGACCACCCACATCAACACTCAGCACATAGCAGCTTTTTTGGTGAACTCGCCTGTGCGGGCGCCCCGTTCCCAAAGTCATCACACACTGCTCGCAGTCCTTTCTGAAAGGAACATGGTCTCGTTGAATGTGGAGTCGCCAACCCTGCTCTTTGGTCAATTTCCGAAGTTCACACTCGCCCTCCGACTCATAGCCCTCTGCACCATCCCCAAGGCCCAAAGCCTTAATGCCTTCAAGTATCGCCCGTCGTAGGCCTGGACACCATCTTCGATCAGGAAAGTCAGGATCTCGAGGGGGGCGTAGGTGGTCGGGACGCGAGTCCTTCAGCCCATGATGAACTTCCAAACCAACATTGTGAAGAAGCCTAACAGGAGCTTTCTCAGGATGTCCAAAAGCACCTTGCTCAAGCACGCACTCCTTAACTCCAATCTCCTTCACCACTTCCTGGAAGCCCTTAACCATCTCAAGCTCCCAAAATGCGCGACTGTCAACTGGCGCACCAACTGACAACGAGGGTTCCGCACCCTCGGAGGCTGTATAGGCCACCAGGTACAGGAAGAGCGTCTTGGACAGCATCTCAAAGTCCTTCATGTATCTATGCGATGGGCTCCCATTGGATTCCGTCACACCGTCCATGGACAAACCTCCGACAGGGGGCGAGGAGATCACCGCCTTCACCTTCGAGTTCATAGCTCCCCACAGGAGGGCCTTATAGAGCTCCCCTTGAAGGTTCCACCCCGGCGACAAGGTTACATCGACGTTGATCACCACAACCTCGCCCCTATGTCTTGACGAAGTAGCTCCAGCAAAGGTTTGGATGGGGTCTCCTTTCTTGCCGCCCGCAAACATGTTCAACACCCAACAGCTCGACCTAAGGAGTCGCTTCCTCATCCGTCTGGGCACTGGTAGGAGCTTAAGGTAGTCCCAGCCCGCATCGGGTGAGCAATTCATCTCCGGGGCAACCAGGGTCCTCAACTCGTTGGGCATGCTGACAAACGCCGGGGAGGTGAACAAGGCCTGCAAACCATCAGCCGCGCACCCTTGTTCCGAATACCTTCCCAACAACACTCTCCAATCAGCCTTGCGGTCCTCGAGCATCCGAATCGCAGTGAGCTGATCCTGAAGCTCCCGTGTCTTTTCCTTGAGCTCCGCAACCTTCTTCATCTCAAGCTCAGCGATGATCGCTGCCGCCTGACCTGCATCAGTGATCTCTGGACATCCTGCTCGAACATGGGTCTTTATGCGGCCGAACTTGGGGTGGTGGAGGTAAAAGCCGCCCTTAGACCATTTCAAGGTACACCCCAAGCATTCGATGACCTTCCCAAACGGGATTATGGACTGAACATCCTTGGACTTGCTGGGCTCCACGATGATGCTTCCACTCGTTGTCTGGTTGAGAAGCCGCTGTTCATCTCCCGCCAGCGTAACATAGACCTGCTGACAGTCACGGCATTCTTCTTCATCCTTGGCTGGTCGAAGCACATGCGTAGATCCCGAATCCAACAGGGTTCCTTGCTTATCTTCGCCGTCGGCACTAGTGACCTTCATAACCTTCAACCTCAGGGAGTCCAGCTGCCTTTGTATCTCTTCATACGTAGGCGGCCGTGAGGAGGAACCCGTAGAACTCGAAGCTCCCCTTGACGCGCTGTCCACGGTCATAGACTTCAGCCGCAGCTCATCTAACTGCCTCTGGATAGACTCAAACGACGGAGTTGTCGCTGATCCCGCCGGGGTTCCAGAAGGGTTGTTGGCCATCATGGTTTTCAACATTTTGGACGCATCCGCCAACATCTGCTTCAACTCTCCTGGGCGCTCCTCTTCTGGGGGAACCCGGGATTGTGATGAAGTCGGTGACGTAGTAGGCGAAGGTTCCGCCGCAGGCTGAGGAGGCATCGTAGTCGAAGAAGAAGTGATCTCTTGGGTGGTAGCCAAAGCCCTCGCTGCTGCAGTGGTAGTAGCTGAGGTTTGCGGTGAGGGCTCAGACTTTAGTCTGGGTTGACGCAACCCCGAACCCTTGTCCTTCACCGGGCAGTCCTTCTTGAGGTGGCCCGTGCTTGAGCATACAAGGCATCTGCCCGCCTTCGCCGTAGTACCCCACTCGTGGGCGAACTGACAGTCCGCCCCCCGTCTGCAGCCTCCTTCGGTCTTAGCGAACCACTTGCACGCCTTGTCCTTGATAGGTGACGCCTTGGGCCTTGCCGCCGGTGTGGTAGTAGAGGAGGTTGCCGTAGGCGCCGTAGTTGACTGCTCTGCCGTCGTAGTAGCGCTCCTTATCTTTGGAGTAGCCTTCGCTGAAGGGGCTGCCGCAGTACTCAACAACTCCATTTCGGCCTGCAGGTGCTTATGGTAGTCCAAGGTAGACTCCTCGCTGGGATTACTGTCTAGTTGCAGCTTCTGACGCACCATTGAAGTGCGCAGCCACACATCTTGATGTCGGCCCAGAACTCCAGAGACGATCACCGCAAGGCCCTTTATCATCAAGACCGGATCCGGAACCGTCACTGTGAGGTCCTTTGCACGAGAATGCCACCGGCCCCAGCGTCGTAGTCCCTGTACCGCTTCTTCTGCCGTACTGGCCGGTTCGGGAGCCGTGAGCTGCTGCAGCAACAAGGTCTTCTCCTTTTCCCCTCCTGGCCGGTACGCCGTGAGGAGCCTGAAGATCAAACTTGCCGTGCTTCCCGTCACCTTCTTCGTGATCATCTCAGACTTCACCTCCTGAGGGAGCGCGGCAAGCACCATTCCCGCCGCTCTCGCATTCACTCTCCCATAACGGCCCTGCTCCAGACTCGGACTCTTCGGCATCGACAAAGAGATCTTCTCCATGGGCGTAGACTTTACCCACTTGCGGTAGTGTTCTTCCGCCAAGTCCCGGGTCTGAAGCCACCACTCCCAGCTGGAGTCGCTCAAGTCAGTCATCACGCCCCCGACTTCCTCCAGCCAATCCTGTATGTCGACAGGACTCGTGTCTTGGCCCGGCGAGCTCAGAGCTGGGAGAGAAGAAATGCCCGGTTTGACAATTTCCGGCATGTCCGACTTCTTCTCCATCTGCTTCAACTGGACCTCTTGTAGCTGCTTCATCCCCGTAGCGATGAACCCCAACAGCTCCATCGTAGAGGGGTTTCCACTAGCCTTCGCGCCATCTTGCTCCTGCTCCTTTGGTGGATCAAGTTCGGAAGGAAGTCGCTGTTGATCACGTAGAGCTCTATCGCCTGCTGCCAAGTCAAAGTACTCTGTTGTCTGACTGTGACCAGGTACGGCATCCCGACCAACATCATGACTGGACACATAACGACCCTCTGAAGCCCGATCTCGTCCTTGGTGACCCTCTGAAGCCCGATCTCGTCCTTGGTGACCCTCTGAAGCCCGATCACGTCCTTGGTGACCCTCTGAAGCCCGATCACGTCCTTGGTGACCCTCTGAAGCCCGATCCTTGGTGACCCTTTGAAGCCCGATCACGTCCTTGGTGACCCTTTGAAGCCCGATCACGTCCTTGGTGACCCTCTGAAGCCCGATCACGTCCTTGGTGAAGGCCTTCGGTAGAGCGATCTCGTCTTTGGTAACGGCCTTCAGCAGACCGCACGCGCCCCTCATGACCTTCAGAAGCCCGATCACGTTGTTGGTGACCCTCTGTAGTCCGATCACGTACTTCACGATCCTCTGTAGTCCGATCACGTCCTTGGTGACCCTCCACAGTCCGATCATGCCCTTGGTGACCCTCCACAGCCCGATCACGTTCTTGGTGACCCTCTCCTGTCTGATCACGTGCTAGCTGCCTTGCAAGACGATCTCGTTCTCCTTGTAGCTGTTGGACCTCATCACGAAGACGCCTAGCCTCACCATCATGCCGTTCTACGAAACTTCGAAGTTGCCTTTGGACTTCAGCTTGAACCTCTTCAGACGACGTTGAGCTAGGAGGGCCCCTTCGAGAGTACAGCCAGGGGGCCTCATGCTGATGCCGTTCTAAGTGAGTGGCTTGCTCCGGCGTGAAGAGATGATGTTCCCATTGTGGAGGTGCCGGTGGTGATGAAGGATTCCTGGAAAGCCACGGTAAACTCGGCGCCTGCACCGGAGGAGGTGGAGGTGGAGAAGGAGATCTTCGTCCCATTGGCGATGGCATCCTTATCGGCAAAGGTGGTGGTGGCGGTCGCTGCCTCAAACTGTGGTTTTGCAAGTCGCAAGGTCTAGCCACTGTCATCGCCGGGGACTGGGCTGCTGCTTGGTGCGTCACGAGCTGCTGCTGGTGGTTTGTAGAGTAGGCTTGCTGCTCAGGGAGTGTGGTGAATCCTGAAGGCTGGCCTGTTGTTACACCTAACCCTAATCCTTCCATAAACCTACCCTGAAACCCGTTGCTCCTGGTGGTGGATCTCAAAAACTCCGTCAGTCTTGCCACCCAACGAACCACCGGTTGACCACCAGCATTCTGCACAGAATACTCCATAGCCACCGTCCTCTCTGCCTCGTGCGGTTGCCCACTCTGGGGTCTCATAGGTGAAGACGGTCTCGTAGGTAGTGATTCATAGCCAGCGCTGCTCGATGGGCTTATTGCCGTGTCCATGCCCACTTGTCCGCGGAAAAAACCAGGTGCCACCGCGTTTTGAGCTGCTTCATCAGTCAACGTGCGGCCCTCCAGGGGCGAGCCTGCTACCCGCGGTCCCGCCGGGGGCGGTTCTTCGCGAGCAGCACTCACCCGTGGAGGATCGACACCATTGACCATCAACTGGGGCTCATTGGCCTGGCCCACTTGTGGGCTCTGTCCGGTTGCCATCTGGCGCTCTTCTCGCATGCCCTCATACTGCGGCCCGTTGGCCTCTCCTTCCAAAGTCGGGGGAGACGGCACTGGAGGTTGGGCGCTCATAACCTGTGAATACAAACTTCCCCTTACGGGACTTCGTCGTCTAGATCTCAGAAACGTGTTTCACACAGGAGTAGGCTCAACGAACCATGGCGCACGCGATCCGAATTCTTTTTACTGCAAACCACAAAGTCGACATGCGCTTCTGTGCACAGCATGACGATAGCCTAAGCTCGTGGTATGTGGCTTCTGCCGATCATGGCACGTTGCCGCTGGCTTCTACCGATCATGGCATGTCGCCGTTGGCTTCTGCCGATCATGGCTCCAACCTTTCTGAAGCCATCCGCTGCAAACAAGTAGACCCTCACTTGCACAAGCTCCACTCATGCACACTATACATAAAAAGGGGGTCAGGGTCATCAACATACTCCTACTCCTACTCCTACCCCTACTACTACTACTACTACTACTACTACTACTATTACTACTACTACGACTACTACTGCTACTACCACTACTACTACTACTACTACTACTACTACTACTACTACTACTACTAATTACTACTGCTACTGCTACTACTACTACTACTACTACCACCCCTTCTGCTGCCACTACTACTAGTAGTCCTACTCCTCCTGTTGCTACTGCTACTCGTACTGGAACTTCCACTGCTGGTGCTGCTGCTGCTGCTGCTGGTGCTGCTGCTACCGCTGCTGCTTCTGCTGCTGTCCGTAGTCGGAAGAGCAAGGGAGGGATTATCACATTATTGACGATCACAATAAGCAATCGCCATGGCAGTCATTGTAACGGCTGTGGCAATGCAACAACGCAACTTGTTCGAGTCTAGACATCTCTTATATCACGCCCACGGCAAGGCATCGAAGATGTGGGAATTCAGCTGGAGGACCGTTTGCGGAGAAGCAGGTCCTTCAAATCTTGAGCCGAGTAGCGCTTCGCGAGTGAGGGTAGTCGCGATTTCGAGCGCTGTTTGGCGCTTGTCATCGTTGTTGCTGCTGCTAATGGCCATGACGAACCCGTGACATGACCGTTGTTGCCCTGGTGATAAATGATAATACATACGTGCTGTGTTGATGGCTATGATTATTTGGCCGTGCTTCTGGCTACTATCACTCTGCCAGTACCCTGTTTGTTTTAACATTTCACATGTTTGCCGTCGTCAGCAGCACTCTGATTGCCACGGCTATTTCTGTCTGTTGTGCTCGATGACAGGAGCCCTTCAAGGTCTTGCCACTGGAAGGGCCCTGTGCGAAGCTGGCGGCAGAGTGCCAGGCCGATGCCACACGCAGGAAGGTAGAGGGCCAATGTTGGGGGTCTGCATACTTGGTCAGAGTATCACTGTATCGTGCCCTTATCTTCCAAAACCCTGTTTCAATTTTTGAAGCCCCTATATAAGACTGTGGTGGGTTGAGACTGTTGGGCTAAGTGCACTTGTTCCATGGCTTCAAGGTGATGATCTTCTGGTTTATGCTAAAGGACGGAAGACATCGAACCGTGAGCATTAGCTTTCTGAAGGTTATTTTATGATAAGGAATCGACTATGTAGGGTCTCTATAAAGGGGGGGGGGTGCCATTCCGACATTTTGGTGGGCTGGCCCCGGCTTGGGGCTGCAGCCATGTTTGGACACTTTAGGCCTCGTTGGTTGTCGATTCATTGTTTCCAGAGTCCCGACTTCGAGTTTACGGCTCTTTGCAGCTAGGGGTTATGGAAATCAAGGTTCAAATAAGGCCCAACAAATTTCCAAATAAGGCTCTAAGAATGCCCAAATAAGGCAGCAATGCTGTTCCAACCTTCGCCCGGAACCCACGTTCTGCTCTGCTCCGAAAGATGCTCCGAACTTTTTCAAAACATCCCCACTTGGAGGTTCATGGGTAGTTATAACTAGGGTTATAAGTGGGTAACTATACTTATAACCCATATTAGGGGACTTATAACCCTACTTATAACTACCCACGAACCCTAAACCCTATACCCTTATAGAATGCCTATAGATCCCTCTAAAGGGACCCTTAAAGGAGCCCTTATAACCCTACTTATAACTACGCATGAACCTCCTAGCAGGCCTTGCGCGTGAGCTGGCGGAGGCCCGGCTCTTCTTGTCGGTTTGGGGTTTTGTGGGGCTTAGGGTTTAGGGTTTAGGGTTTGGGGTTTAGGGTTTAGGGTTTGGGGCTTAACATAGGGACCTATAGGTAATTTCCTATACTCTTTTGGCGGGTTCCTTATTGTATGGGCCCCAAAACTCTATTCTAATGATTAAGGCCCCTATATTAGTTAAGGTCACTTGGGATCCTTCTCTACTCGATGGAGTTTGTGACTCTTATTTCTGGAGAGTGCGGAATTACGGAGATTCACTTCGAGAAGCGCAACCCACGTGGTTGTGCAAAATAGCTTTTCGGTCGCCCGTCGACTTCGTACGCAAAGAGCTGGACAGCAAAGCAAAGGAACCTCAAAATGACCCTAAATTAGACATGTCTTTCTGATTCTATCCCTTCTGCAGGATGCAGAGAGGCTCCGACGACAAGCAAGTTCCTCTCAGATTCGGCCGGGTTGCCCGGGTTTGAACGGTTGGTGTGCTGAACTGGTCCCGTCTGTGCAGAAAGCAGAGCAGGGGTGACCTCGTCATCGTGATCGCAAAGCTTAGAAACGAAGCGCCGAGGTGATGGCAAGGGGGACAAGCCTCTTGGACGAAGCGGCACAGTGTCTTGCGGTGCGCTGAGAGCGGAGGATACCTCACCGTGCCATCTTTAAAGGGCTCTATACAAGAGTTAGGATAAGGGATACTACAAGGGTACTATAATAAAGGGGCCTTGATAATTAGAAAAATCCAAGGAGTGACCAGGAGGTGATCAGACTTTGAAGCTGGAGCTCCGCGGCTCTGAGGCTCTGCTCAGCGATCATCGCATCCCCCCTTTTTGGTCGTCCTCGTCTCCTTCAAGGAAGGTGCCGGGTCGAACAACCCGAGCCCCACGAGCAGCGCTGTTGGCGGTGGAGCGAGCGGGGCCTGTCTTGTGCGAGAACCTCGAGCTTCACGACGCCACTGGGGTGACGAACGGAAGAAGTAGCACGTTGTGCTCAGAAAGTTGGCACTGGGCCAGAGTTTCAGCCCTCCCTGGGGCTTCAAAGAGGCTGGAGAGGCCCATCTTGTTCAGCACCAGCAGCGACAGGGGATGCTGAGGGTGCGGTTCCAACACTTTCTATCATCAGCAGAAGGAAAAGTTCACGATAGTTTCCTTGGAGAGTTTCCAATGCACGTCCCAAGGACCATGCAACGTGTGCCTTCGTAGCGTGCCTGAAGGCCCTCAGCTCTACTTACTAAGATTCGAATTCATTGATTGAGAAGCTTCCAGGGCCAGTGCCAAAGTACCTTGTAAAGTCATGATGTCAATATAACTCTTGCCTAGCATGTACTTGGGAATACCTGGAGTGCATTTTAACTGCTAGCTTTGCTGTTGCGGGTTAAGTACAAGACCTGCCCCTCGGTGCGAGTGACGCTCGCAGTGTGGTCCAGAGTGGTCAAGCCCAAACCCTATAGCCTCTATAGACCCCTATAACCCTAAATCCCAAACTCCCTAACCCTATAAACTCTAGACCTTAAACCCAGAATCCAACTCAGCTCAACGATGGTCCAATGGTGCGCGCTTGGGTTCTCTGCTTGCTCATTCGTTTGGCAGCTGCCTCTCCACGAATACTCCTCTCACGGCCGCGGAAGCAAGCAGGAAATGGACCGAAGAGAGGGGTCTTGGGTGGTTGGGACCCAGAGAGCCCAATACCCCGTAATTAAGGAATATGCCTTAAATTATAAGGGAGTTCATATTATGATTTAAGCTATATTCCTTAATTAAGGAGTATTGGGCTCTCTGGGGATTGAGGGTCCTGACAGCCGGCAGTCATGGAGTTTAAGGTTCAGGGCTGAGGGTTCAGGTTCAGGTTCGGTCTGTGCAGAATTCGGGATCGCATGAAGTCCACACGGTCTTGTAAGCTTCAGATGCTACGCTCGTTCGGATGCCTTCCCTCTGTCAGATGCGAGCTACTATCCCTTTCGCCAGCTCTTGGATTGCTTCGTGGCAGCACTTGGCGCCATGAAACCAGGCCAGTTCAATTGAAGCAAATTCGGCAACCCTAAGCCCAAAATCCTGAATGACCTTGAATCCTGCTCCTTCCAAGGTGATGGCGCAAACTTCAGCAGCAGCTGGGGCGAGTTCCGGGTGCGTGTGGCGGAGAATGCCAGACAAGGCAGGCTGACTTGGGTGGGGATCCCAGCAAAAATTAATCAAACACCTCCGTCAAAAACAAGTACGGAGTAGTGACGGCCTTAGCTATACCAGCTGTAAGAACTGGTAGCCAAGTATTACCAAGCCTAGGACAAGCTGCGACAACAGCTGCAGTTCTGCCGCTATCGCTTCTGCTGCTGCTCCTTCTGCAGCAGCTCCTGCTGCCGCTGGTGCTACTGCGGCTGCTTATGCTACTTCTACTGCTGCTAGTAGTAGTGTTGCAGTCGTAGTATTATCAATATTATTACTAGCAGTAGAAACTACCACCACTACGATGACGACGACATCTAACACTCCTACGACTACTACGTCTACTACGACTACTACGACTACTACGACTACTACGACTACTACGACTACTACGACTCCTACGACTACAATTACCATTGCAACTAAGGCTACGGCTGCGACAAGGGCAACAGACGACGACTACGACAACTAGAATATCGCATACGACGACTACGACGACTACGACGACTTCGACGACTTTCGACGACTGCGACGACTACGATCAGTACGACGAGTACGGCGACGGCGACGGCTGCTGCTACTTACTACTGCTGCTACTACCAGTGCTGCTACTTCTGCTGCTGCTGCTGCTACTACTACTACTACTACTACTACTATTACTATTACTACTATTATCACTAGTACTATTGCTATTACATCTACTACTACTACTACTACTACTACTACTACTACTACTACTACTACTACCACCGTTTCTTCTGCTACGACTCGTACTCGTTACTACGACTACGACTACTAGTACTAAAAGTTCGACAGTCACGACAACAGAAACAGTCGTAGTGTCACGGGAACCAAGAGAAAAGCTGATGGCAAGGAAGATGGGAAGCTTGGTGACAACATCAATCATATGATCACTAATAGTGCAGCATGCGAAATCTAAGCCGCTCACGTTCATCAGATGAAATTCGCATTGCGGGAGAGCAGTGGCTTTCCGGGATTGTTCCTCATGGTAGCAATAAAATACTATAGAAGCTTGAATGCGTACACGTACACATGTATGTATTCTTTGCATACGTCTTGTGTTCATTAAGAGGAAGGGTGGTCGGTATGTGATGAGGTAGCATAAGATCATACAACCAGGTCGAAATCATAACACATGCGCGAACACAAATGTTGGCCCCAACATACTTGTGTATGTATATGAATATGTATACGTGTATGTATATGATTGTATATGTATATGTGTGTATGTATGTATCATACGTATATATATATATATATATATAATTAAATGTGCATGTATATATATATATATATACACATGTATGTACATATATATATATATATATATGTATACACATCCGTCGATCCATCGATCCATCGATCCTTCCCTCCCTCCATCCATTCATGCATCCGGCCGGCCGGCCGGCCAGCCAGCCAGCCATCCATGAGAGCACATTCAATAATTCCTTCCTTCCTTCTTCACTCTTTTCTTTCTTCATTATGCAAGATCAACATCAAGCTCCGTGGCCTTTTGAGGGTTGCCATCCGGCAGAGGCTTCGTGACAGACGAGGGGCTCCTGGACATGGCAAAGCGCATCCACACAGCTTGGGAGGAGGACCGCCTGGGATGAAGAGTTTGGCTGGGGGCGTATATTAAACGATACATATTTTATATGATATGTCATATTATATATGTATGGCGTGGGTGATCTGCTCCTTGCAACGCCGCAGCTGCTCCCTTGGAATCCATCCGAAGAGCCCTGAAGCAGGGGTCCCGTAGCGAAGGTGCGCCGGACACAACCGAACTGGTGGCTCCAGCCCGCTCCAGTAGAGCTTCTAGTGCCGGCCTCCAAGAGCCCAGGGTGCCTGCCATGTCATTCTCGCAGGTAGCCCTTGCTGCAGCTCTCCTTTGGACCGTGGTTCGGGGCGACGATCCGTGCTTCGAGTCATCACGCTCGCGGCTGTCGAAGCTCATGAACTCCACGGGCAGCCGAAATTCGAGTATCTCTTGTGGATGCCGTCCAGCTCACCAAGTTCGGATGTACCGCCACTGCGTGCGATCAACAAGCACCAAGGTGACGGGAGCCAACCCGGATTACACCCATCTCCAAAACTATACGGACTTGCCGATGCCTGATTGGAACACCCCGTTGAAGTGGTGCACCGCGCAGGGAGCTGTACTCATTGAGAGGGAAGGACAGAAGCTGAAGCAGCAAGAGCCGACGATGGAAGTTTCGAAGCTTAGGGTTCTCGTGGACAGCGTTCACCGCGATGCCACGACTGCAAACTCCCTACTTCAGGGTCTGGCTGACAAGGGCGAGGTCTACACGGCAAACGTTGAGTACTATCCGCTGCTCTTCAATGCGGTTGCCCCAAACACTGGCGCAGGAGTTTGCCATGGTCCTGACACAGAGCTTGTCACGGCACAGAGGCAGCAACGTCTGGACACCACTCCAATGCCCATGGGCATCGGTCCTGCTCACAGCATGAACCAGACAAGGTACGGCGAAGTGCTGGACATTTTTGAGAATTTATTCGGCATTGGTTCTGCAGGTCCACTGAGGAATCTGACCAACCCACCGATCATTGAGCACAAGACAGGCGAGCTGATAGGGGCGGCCATCGTGCTGAAGTTCTTGGCCACGAACTTGTTGTTTGCTTATGCATCTGGCATTCCACATCCGACTCACACACCGGCAAGCCAGGAGCAGATACTCGAGCTTGCCTCCTGGATCGACTGGCAGCGCAGGGTCACCGCAGTGCCTGCTTTTCTCACCCCGGAGAAAGCTTGTGGTGCTCTCTCTATCATTACGGCTCTGCTGGACAAGTCCAGGCACAGAAACGTCATCCATGTGGGGCATGACACTGACCTTGACGCCTTGGCACACTTCTTCCAGATTGCGTGGCAGGCACCTCCTTACCCGGCATTGACGACCACACCGCCGGGTTCATCACTTGCGTTTACCCCGCGAGGTGACAACACAGCTTCGGTACATTTCACCTACCAAGTCTTTGATTCGACGAACGACCCTGAAGTAAAGGTCGTCCCGACCGTTCCTTCCCAGGTGGACTTGCGCGAAGTCCAGGCTTTCATCGAGAAGCAAATCCTGGAGTTTGCAGGTGAAAGCTGCCTCGAAAGCTGCAAGAGGCTGGTTGCGAAGCTGTGATGGCGAAGAGCAAAGGTCTGGATCAAACTTTTGTCCTTAACCTTTTGCGCCGAACCAGAACCACAGGGTTAAGATCAACAGGACTTATGAATGTTGAGCAAACACATCCTCTGAGCTGTGCGCGCAAGTTGTGCAGACATCAGCGGTGCTTTTTCCGTCCTCTGCCGAGACAGGGCATGTACAGGCAGCAAGCTCAAGCAATCGCTTTGTGGCAGAGTTTCGGATGTACAGAACACGAAGCACCGAGGAACGCCCGAAAAGCAAAGCTGTGGTGTTGGGAGTCCGAACGTGGGAACGAAATGGGCGCAGACGTTCACAGCCAGGTGGCCCTCGCGAGGAGCATGATGCAGGTGAGGGTGCTCCTGCGGCAGGCGGAGGTGACAGCCTTGCGACGCCTGGAAGCAACTCCAGTGGATTCAAGCATGGTTCTGGACAGAGGTCGGTTTTCGCAAAGAATGAACAGGTGGCTTCATTTCAGAGTTTCGGAAAACAAGGAACCTGAAGGATAAACGTCGAAGAATCGTGATTCTGCCTGCAAGCAGACCCCTCATTTCATTGAGACTCTTATGTGAGCCCTGGATGTTTTCTGGTGCGATTTCGGCGTGCCACTTTTGGGCCAAGGAGATTTCTGCCTGCTAGGCTTCGGGGCCGCGCTGTGCCTTGGCTCCGAATCCGCCGGTCCTTTCCTCGAGCCCTGAACCCTAGTTGGATCCTTTAAGGGTTCCTTCAAAGGGATGTATAAGGCTTCTATATGCGCATATAAAGGGTTTAGGGTTTAGGAGTTTCCGACAATTAGGGGTACCTTATTTTGGAGCCTTTATAAGAAGGATCCTTCCATACTAGGTCCCCTAAGTACCTGAGCACGAAAGGACCTGCGGTGCTTGTGGTTCCTTGCCATGATTTCCTCATATCAACAACGGTTTAGGGTCTAGGGTTTTGGGTTTAGAGTTTAGGGTTTAGTGTTTAGGGTTTAGGGTTTAGGGTTTAGGGATTCGAAGAGTAGCCGGATTCTCACCGTTTCGTGGCCCCAGTCGTGATCCAACGAGTAGCCCTGAGCCCGAAATCCTGCAGCCTAGCACTCAGGTTCATTCTCTACCGACACGAGCGAAACATCCGGTACCTCAACGACCTGCACGGGGTCCTCTTAGCTCAATAACGGAGGGAGCCGAAGGCGTCGGGTCTCTCTTTCACGGCTGTTTCGGGCTTCTTGGTTTGAGGGTGTTCCCGTTTAAAGCTTTGAATATCCCATTGTTCATGTATTTTTTTCATCGGTTTTTTTGGGGGTTTTAGCGTATAGATGTGGAGGGTTCAGCAAGGTTCGGGGGTTTTAGGATTTACTACTGTTGATGGACAGAATCCTGCATGACCCTAAGGACTCTAAACTATGGGGATTGGGGTTTTCCTCATAATGGGTAATGCAGGATTTATATCATCCTAAACCCTAAACCCCCCCTAGAGATCCCTTAAAGGAGCCCCCTAAAGGTACCCTTATAGATCCCTTTAAAGGAACAGCACTACGGCTCGCGCCGTTCTTGTGATGAGGTTATGGGCTGGTCCGAGTGGCCTCTTGACTTCTCCGAGTGCAGCAGTTGGCCGCTTGGATGTCTCCTCAATTTAGGACCCTGTAGGGTTCCTTTAAAGGGTACCAGAAGGGCTCCCTTAAGGGATCTATAGGGTTCTATTAAGGGTCTAGGGTTTTGGGATATGGGAGTTTCCGAAAATAGGGGACCTTAATATAGTACCTTAAATAGTAGGATCCTTATTATAAGGACCCCCATATAAGGTACCCCGTATTTTCGGAAACTCCCATTTAGGGCCCCAAACAAGCACATAAGCAAAAGCAAGGATAGGGATATCCCATGTAAACCCCCTTGTAGTGGAGCCCAGTACGGTCGGGATATCCCCATAAAACGCTTATGCTTATGTGCTCCTTTGATCCCTAACAATTCCCGATGTCCTGGAGCCTTGTGACAAGCAGTGGATACTAACCCTACGATGAATGGTAACAGAGTTACAGGTATGAACTTGATATTGAAAACGACAGTTTTAAGGTTGTAGTTGTAGTAGTAGCAGAACAATGCAGGTTTGGACAGCAGTGACGACAATAATTAACAGTAGTGACAGCCCGATTGCTAGGACAGCGGGCGCAGTAGTAGAAAAGGTGCCTGGATGGGTTAGAACCGGGCGAAGGGGTACACTATAGTTTAGGTCGCCATCGGGCTCCGTTTGCTTTTAGTAAGGCCTACGCTCTATCGGATCGCCCCGATGCACTTAGAGCAGGCACATTTCCGCTCCTCGATGGCATCTGGTCTCGGACATAGGGTTTCGGGATCCGGGCCTCAACCCTGAACCCTACCCTGAACCCTAAAGCCATAAAGCTAAGCCTTCAGAACCCCCGGAGCAACCAAAGCACTGAAAGCCCAAAGCAAGCTTCTGAAAGTTCTTTCGAAACGGAATAGATGCTACAAGCTTCTTGGAGCACCCTAAGCTTGTGTATCGATGCTTCTACACCCCAAGCCCTATACCCTGACGTGTCGAGGCTATGAGAGTAGTTCTCTAAACTGGGATACCGCTTTAAGTCCCCCAACATAGTACGGCACCCTTACCGTTAGGACCCTGTAGTACCCTTATACCCTCCCCAATAGAGACCCTTATGGATCCCTTGAAGGAGCCCTGAAAGGGGCCCTAACTTAGACATCCCTTCAGGAGCCCTGAACAGGGGCCGTAACATCGAGAACTACCCCACCCTAAACCCTAAACCCTAAAACCCTAAACCCTAAACCCTAAAACCTTAAACCCTGAACCCTAAAACCCTAAAACCCTGAACCTTAAACCCTAAATCCTAAAACCCTGAACCCCAAACCCTAAAACCTAAAAACCTTAAACCCTAAACCCTAAAACCCTAAACCCTAAAAGCATAAACCGCCCAATCAGGTGGCGACCTCTTCTTCAGCTTTCGCGAAGACCACTGGGGTCGGGAGGAGCTCCAACTTCCGGTGCCCACGCCCCGCAGGGTGGAGGCGGCTGAGGGTTTAGGGTTTAGGTTCCTGAGGGTGTAGGGTTTAGGGTTTAGGTTCTGGAGGGTGTAGGGTTTAGGGTTTAGGTTCTTGAGAGCGTAGGGTTTAGGGTTTAGGTTCTTGAGGGCGTAGGGTTTAGGGTTTTTGGTTTTTGAGGGTTTTGGGGGTTTTGGGGGTTTCAGGGTTTCCGCCGTTCAGGATTGAATATTGGGGTTTAGGGCAGCATCTCTGCGACAAGGCATGTCATGATGAGTTTACCTCCTAAACATGTACCAAGGCTGATCTTCTTCAGTGGTTGGCCAAAGTCGGTGTGGTGACACCGGCGCGGCCGGATGCTCTGAGTGTGCCTGCCCCTTTCAGTGCCAAGAACCTCAGGGAGGTGCTGCGGAAGCGCCGGCGCGGCTTGCGGCTCCTGGTTGCAGGCCTGTTGCTTAAAGGATCATGGGACTTAGTAACTGGGGTTATAAATAAGGTAACTATATTTATAATTACTTATAACCCCAATTAAGGTACTTATAACCTGACTTACTAAGTCCCATGATCCTCTAAGTGGGGAAGAACTCTAAGAACAATGGACGGGACCCACGTTCTCGACCAGGAATAGCAAAGTAGATCTTTTCAAACCCCTAGAAGCAAGGCAGGTGCCAGCCAGTTGGTGTAAGCATTAGACAGCGTTAATGTAGGGCCCTTAATAATTACCAACATTAATCTGGGGGTTCCTTATTATACTTGTAGTACAATGGGCCCCAAGACCCTATTCTAACTACGAAGGCCCCTATATTATAGAACCCTACTATGGATCCCGTATAGTGACCCTTATAGGCCCCTTTAAAGGAGCCCCTATTCTAATTTTTAAGGCCCCTATAGTAGCACATGCTGGCAACCCTAAACCCTAAACCCTACCATGGTTTTGGACATCGGCAGGCCACCACATGGGGTCATCCTTGGAGCCCTACACGATGCTGCTCCGAGCCGCCGCCTCATCTTTGATGATTAGGTGATTAGGGTACCCTGTAAAGGGATCCTTTAAGGGTTCCTTTAAAGGGATGTATAAGGGTTCTATAAAGGGTTTAGGGTGTAGGAGTTTCCGACAATTTGGGGTACCTTATGATGGGGTCCTTCTAATAGGGATCCTACTGTTTAGGGTACTATATTATATTACCCATGTAGAAGCCTCAATAATTACCAATATTATTGTTAGGGTTCCTTATTATAACCATACTATAAGGGAACCCCCAAACCCTGTTCTAATTATTAAGGCCCCCTGGGAGTTTCCAGAGAATGTCCCAATGAGGCCATGAACATCAGCAACCTGGACATGGAGGCGGGTCTCCCACGGCGATGTGCGGTTTAGGGTTTAGGGTTTAGGGTTTAGGGCATGCACAGAAATATTCATGAGCCTGGGCTTAGGTGCAGTTCCATGGGCAGCGCCATCCCTCCCCGGAAGTCGCATGCAAAGAGCAGCTCGGCTTGGGTGTTGGCATGGGGTCTCTGAGTTCCTGTCGTCCTGTCGAAGTTGCCGTGAAGAAGCGGATGTCGCCCCGGCCTACTTTCATTGATGAAGCTGTCTCGCTTTCAAGTTCAGGGGTGGCGGCGGACCTTGTGTTCGTGAAAGTCATCCTTCCTGAGACACCGTAAATCCCTGAAATCTCAAAGGCGGAAGCCAGAAACCACCAAAATACCTCAACACTTCAACCCTAAACTTTCAAACCTTAAAGCCCGTACCCTGAAACCTCAAGCTCTTAACGTTGAAGCCGTGCAGCTCCGAAGAGTCTCCGAAGCCCTGAAACCTGGCAACGCAGAGGTTCGGCTTCTGCAACGACAATCGCAACCTGGCCGACTGGATGCGGCGGTGGGAGTGGAAGCATTCCTGGGCTGCGGCCTCAGGGCCCGGAGGGGTAGCGGTACTTAAAGGATCATGGGACTTAGTAACTGGGGTTATAAATAAGGTAACTATATTTATAATTACTTATAACCCCAATTAAGGTACTTTTAACCTGATTTACTAAGTCCCATGATCCTCTAAGTAGGGTTTCGGGTTGAATTAGGGCTTACGGTTTGCAGGGAGAATTAGGGGGGGGGTCTTAGCAAGCGAAACTGATAGTAGCAAGTAGCATCAAGCTTCAGAAACACGCAGGGATCATACTAAGTGGTATAGCAGCGGGAACAGATATTGGCACTGGTGATGAAGATGGCCTTCAGGAATCCGTCAATTGCGGGTGGTGATGTTCATGGTCACAAAGATGCAAACACGCAACCTTCTAAGGTGGACGATTACGAGTGGACCGGAGCCTACTTGCGTGAAGCTCAGTTAGCAAGCTGACAGTTCGGGTATTTTCCGATGAGGATGCACGAGAAGTGGCACGAAGCGCTCGACAGCGCCTTGGCGACGTTCTAGACTCTAGACTGTCAGGGTACGAGACGGCTACCCTTATAGGTTACTCTACGGTTGCTATAAGGGCATTGCAAGAGTACTGTAAGTAAACTTTAGGGTTACAAGTTACAATGTTGTTACTATCTTACCTGAGCCTGTCTGGGAGGTTTGGCAGAGATTGTCCGATCAGACAGCTTCCTTTCCAACGTGCACGTGGTTATCTGCGGTGGGCCTGCATGGCCACTTTGTGAAGATTAGCCCCTTCTGTTACGCTGCCCACGCTCGGCTTCCAAGGTTTTGCTCTATGCTGCGGGCTGTGAAGGCCAGCTACCCAGATTCGACAAGCCAAGGGCTGTGCCGCAGCTTTTGCCAAAAACTTCAAACTACTCCCTGGGCTTTAAAAGGAGAATCACTGAGCTCTTTTGCTGTGTTACCGAGGCTATCCCGATGCTCCTGTATTTCGCCTGGCCCCTGGTGCCCTACATCCCGGCGAGCCTGAGGCCTTTCATGATAGGAATGCGCGTATGGGTCGGCTCACACATCCGGGCACGCCTCGGGTGCAATGAAGGTTATAGGGCCAAGGCAAGTTATTCTGTTTGCAGAGATCCCAACTACTTAGAGGATCATGGGACTTTGTAAGTAGGTTATAATTGGGGTTATAAGTCCCCTAAGTGGGGTTATCCTAATTATAACCTACTTATAACCTTACTTACTAAGTCCCATGAGCCTTCAAGTATACTGCTACCCAGTCCCAAGCCCGACAGCAAGCTACAGCTATGAAGACCGGGTCCTGTGCGAGTGCGCGAGACACAAAGTCAACTCATCCCCAGAGAGCCCAATACCATTTAATTAAGGAACATGCCTTAAATTATAAGGGGGGGTTCATATTATGATTTAAGCTATATTCCTTAATTAAGGAGTATTGGGGTCTCTGGGTCTTTGAGGGAGTCTTTGACCCGACAGGTCCCAGTTCCTCCTTCAAATCCAGACGCTGGGCCAAGCCACCTCCCCGCCGGCGATCTTGGCCTCTTGCTTACCGGATCGCGGCACTTGGTAAGTAGGGTTAGGATTAGGGTAACTGCACTTCTAGTTAGCTGCAACCTTAGTGGGGTACTTAAAAGTAGGTGCACCCCCTAATCAAGGTATGTAGAACCGTGCTAACTACGTCCCCCGAACGTTTTAAGAGGAGGCTTAGACCCCAGCCCGTGGGATCAGCAGCCCGGTGCCAGACCCTTGATGAAGGAGGGAGTACCACAGAGAGGCTTCTGAATGATTCAAAGAAAGAGTCTCGGGCTTCCTGGGGCTTCTGGGATCCGCTGGCGAGTGCCATGGGAACCGAGGTCGCTGCGAATTGGGTCCTGGCCGTGCAGTTTGCTCTGCAGGCAGCGAGGGGCCATCGTTCAGACATGCCATGAGCCAGGGCAAAGCGCTCAAGGTCTTCTTAGGATCAGCAGCTCGCAAAGTAAGGCCAACCCTGAAGGCACCCAGCAACATGTGTGTGCCCCCTTGAAATTGCCGCTGGGAAGAGACTCCAAGATGTACTCCAGATAGCGAAACCGCAGACTTCTATGCAGAGCACACCGGCCCTCGGCAGCATCCATGGCGGCCTGCGGCGAGCAGCCGGAGGAGCAGGAGGAGCCGGAGGAGGAGGAAGCAGAGGAGAATGCCGAGAGTGACTTGGAGTCTACAAACGGCGATGATGATCGCGACTTCGACGAGGGTGACGACACCGCTCAGAAATCTGTCTCAGGCTTGATGGTGGCATCCGGAACGAAGTTGCGGTGCAACTGGGTTGACCCATCGAAAGAAGAGCAGTTGATGCAATCTTGGAAGAGGGTCAAAGTTGATCCAGTGGAATTGGAGGACAGCGAGAAGGGCGCTTTGGCTCAGCTGCTCGCGTCTTCCAAGACCTGCGAGCGATTGCAGCTGATTGGCCCCCAGCATCCCGACCTCGCCGTTAGAGAGAAGTGGCCGGAAGTTCCAGAGCGTCATGTTAGCATCTTAAGGGCAGTCTCGGAAGCTCTGATGAGTCGATTGATAGTGCTGCGTGTCGATAACTTCCCGGGCTCCGGGGATCCCGTCTTCGGCACCAAGCACGAGCTTCCGGGCCCCGGACCTCTTCGGAAAGCTTGCGGAGGCCTTCCAGGGCGGGAGCCCAAGGCTCAAGAAGCTGACGCTGCAAGGTGGCTTTCACTCAGCCTCGTCAGTTTGCCGCTTCTTGCAGGTGGTGAAGCCGGAGCTCGAATCCTTCCGCTGCCGGGGATGCCTCTTTCACGGCCGCAACTTCGAGATGCTGGTGAGGGCCTTGAGCAGCAGCAGCCAGAAAACGCTCGTGGAGTTTGAGACGGACGCAGCCATCGGCGGTCAGGATCCCTTCGGACTTCTGGCGGACTCTTTCCCGAACCTGAAGATGCTAAGAGCCAAGTACATGTTCGGGAAGACCGGCCCTCTTGAAGCCTTGAAAAGGCTGAAGCTCCGCAAGAAGCAGTGTGTTCTGCCAAGGGAGAGCCACCGACTCAGGGGGCGTCCGGCCGTGGATGAAGAGACAGGCATCGTCTTCTGGTGCATCACTTCCGAGCACCACGACGACGGCTACCGTGGAGAAGGCCTTTCTTTGGTGGGACCAGCTTGACAACACGTGCGAGTGCATGGAGGAGTGGGGCGTCGGCAAGGGCGTAACCAAGGAGCAGTGCCTTGCGTTCATGGATGACTGCGGCATCGGGCTGCACGACGAACTCGACGACGAGGAATGTGGCTTGGACGAGGGTGGTTGTGCTGTCGACTCAGAGACTGACGAGGACACCATCGTTGTGCAGCTGGAGATTAGCGACACTGTGGGTTCCGAGGGCGCTTTGGCGATCAAGGCGCGAACGATGGATGGTCGTGAGTTTGCACAAACGACCTTGGATGCCAAGAAGACATTGGTGCGCACACTCATCGATGACTTGGCCGCAAAGTATCCCTGCTCACCTCTCGCCTTGCGCCTGGTGCTGCCTGGTGGTGGCTGCATCGATGTTCTCGAAACAGCCAACCAAGTTCTGGCGGCAGTCTTGGTATGAAGGCGAAGAGCGCAATTTTGTCTTCCGGGTCAAGCAGCACTCGGTCTTCCGTTGTCGGTACTTGGCTGAGCAACGCTTAGAAGGCGAAGTGAGCGTCAGCATGTAGCAGCTGTTAGACGGCGTCTGACGGGTTGTGATGTTGACTTGAGACTTCATGCCACAGAAAAGCGAAGACTGCCAGCTGAGCTTTTATTGATCGCTGTTCGCTTGATGGGCTTGCTGAGCTTTTGGTGCTGTGCGCATGCCTGCCATCATTTGCATGCAATTCCATCCTGTACTCCACTCCCAAACCTCAGAGAGCCCTACGCCACAATTCCGAAATAGATCCAGCAACGACCTAGGCAGCCCTTGCACCCAACATAGCCTGGCGGGCTCTTGCGAAGGAATCTGATTTACCATCACAGGGAGTCTAGTAAATAGTCTATATGGTGTCCTCATTGGGGTAACTTCAAACAAGTTCCTCAATAGTAAACTACAGGGTTTTCTTTATTATTATGGTAACTTAAACTAAGTTCCTGAACAACATCCTAAACTCTAAGCCTAAACACCCTAAACAGCCCTAAACCCGAAACACCCCTAAACCCTAAACACCCCTAAACACCCCTCAACCCTAAACCACTAAACATCCTTACACCCTAAACACCCTTCAACCCTAACCCACTAAACATCCCTAAACCTTAAACACCCCTAAACCCTAGGAAGCCAAGGAGCCGCTCTGCATCCAGGTTCGCCTCGCCGTGCCCGTGCAGCGCGTGCACGGCCTCTACACCAACCAGAGCCACTCCCCCGCTCCTTGGCTTCCACTTGTGTTTACAGTTTAGGGTTGAGGGATGTTTAGGTTTAGGATTTAGGGTTTAGGGATGTTTAGGGTTTAGCGTTTAGGGTGTCGAGAGTGCATAATGAGTAACAGTACCCCGTCATATTCACTATATGCAGCCCCATATACCAATTTTGCGATGTAACCCTAAAAGCGGATTAAAAGAATGATACGCCTCCATGAACATACGACGATCTCATGCTCCCGGCTTTTCTCATTCCCCTGCTACACATTGCTACGCTGGATCCTTACTACGTAGGCTTCGGGGCTCACCCTCGACCGAAGCTTGACACCGTGGCCTTAAGCATATTCTGTGTTTACTTATACCGTGGTTAGACAAAACATGCTATGTACTATACTACATTCTAGTTTTTCATTCTACTGTATTGTGTTACGTTTTACTATACTGTACCAGGCCATACTGGACAAGACGATATCGTACCATGTTGCATTGCAAGATACGGCTAGCGTCGAAGAGGGGAGCCCCGCTACGAAGCCGACAACGAGACAGAAGGAGGCTAGCCTGAATACTGAGAATAGGGTTGTTGGGGTGTATTAAGGGTATAATTATAAGGGAGATCTTACTACTTGGTATATCAATAGGGTTTGTAGGGAGTATGAGGGAGGGAGCATGTTATATTATAGTATAATAGTTTCATAAGGAGCTCTAAGGAATAGTTCTAGTACTTATACAGGCTTGTCAATTGGCCATGCATCGGTGGGTTAGATGACAATGTACGTGCTATGTTGCTTGTATTGCGATGCCGGGCTGCGATTAGGATGATTGCTATCATCTACGTGACCACTATACGTCTTCTTTTGGCATGTACCACGCTAGCGAGTGTTGTGTTATCTCTCCTTCTCCGTACCTCTAGAGCTCAGAGTTCAGGATTTGCCTGCTAAACCCCTCAATGACCCAGCAAGGCCTTGTCAAAACGATTTTTTTGAGGCCTGCACCCTAACCCTTACACCCAAGGCAAAGACGTCTGCAGACGAAAGAAACTCTTCAAAAAATAAAACCCAAAGCCCGACATGTAAGTTTGGGAGAGACGGGAAAAGGAGGCCTTCAACGACAAAGAAGGCCTAAAAGTTGGAGCCCTCGGAGGTACCCGCGCCCGGAGGCCGACATCGGATCATGTTCTCGCGCTTGGGCGTGTGGTCCGGCCTCTCGGATGCATCGGAGCGCGGAGGTTTGGAGGTTCGTGACGGAAGGTAGCTGAATCTTGCTTAAGTTACCGGGCTCTTTAAATTTGAAAAGGGTCGTAGAAATCGGAGTGCGGAGGTTTAAGATAGCATAATCTGGCTTAAGTTACAGGGCTCTTGAGGTTTTTAAAAGGGGTTGTCTAAGGGAATGCGCGGGGATCGTGATCATGATTTACTGTAATATGACTGAGACTGACCGAATGCAAGGGTGTTCGAGTCTCCGGGAATGTATGGCGGCACCCATGGCAGTGATGCGTGTGGTTGTCGTGGTTGCGGTTGTTGTTGTTGTTGTTGGCTCGTGCTCGGTAGGTTTGGGGCTTCAGATCTTTGCGTTTCTTGTACTCAAACCCGAAACACTTAGCTCTGAAACCCCGACTATCATAAACCCCACGACCCTAAACCCTAAACCTAAGCCCTAAGCCTAAACCCTAAAACAAAGAGCGTGAAACACACACCCTAAACCCTAAACCCTAAACCCTAAACCCTAAACCCTAAACCCTAAACCAACTGAAAAGCCCTCCACCGCTTTGGAAGCCCCTGGGTTTCTTCAGAGGCCAAGCCGGCCCGGCCTTGCTGGAACTCCTTTGGTCCTTCTTTGGCGAGGAGGGGCTGTAGGGTTTTGGGCTTTCGGGTTTAGGGTGTCAGGGTTTATAGTTTGGGGTTTAGAGCTCTAGGGCTTTAGGGTTTAAGGTTTAGGGTTTAGGGCTTTAAGGTCTAGGGCTTTGGGGTTGAAGGTTTAGGGTTTAGGGGTTTAAGGTTTAGTGTGTAGCGCTTTAAGGTTTAGGCCTTCAGGGTTTAGCGTTTGAGGTTTAAAGGGCTTTGGGGTTTCGGGTTTAGGGTTTAGTGACGTGGAGCTGAAAGGGATCTTCCCAGCTTTTGGAGACTTTGGGGTGTAAGGCCCAGGACCCTTCTATAGAACCCCTATGGCACACTCCAAGGAGATCCCAGGGAGCCTTGAAAGGGCGGCTTAGGGTTCCGGGGTTTAGGACCTTCTCAAAAGGGTTTTGGGGGGGTCTTCGGCAAGATTGACAAGGGTTCCACAGGGTTTTACAGGGTTCCATGATGTCTTGCGGATTCACCAGTTGTACGTGCTATACTGGTGTGCCTCGACCCAAAGAGCTCGATATACCTTAAGTAAGCCATATTTCGCAAATCATAATATCCAGTACTCTGTGAATCCGAAGCCCACCCTGAGCCTACACCCTAAACCCTAAACCCTAAACCCTGAACTTGAGGATGCTCCGTATCTGAGATCATGGGAGTCTTGGGATCTGTGGGTGCGCTGTGCTTGAGTCTGCACGCCTATAGCAGTATAGCACCTTTCGAGCCCCTAGTTGTCCCCAGTCCCCACTTAGGAAACCCCGTGGATCCGTTCTAAAGCCATTCTAAAACCCAAACGAGATCCTTCTAGTTCCTTTCTGACTCGAATAAAATCATTCTAACATCCTTCTGAAATCCGTCAGCAACCGACATGACGCCTTTTTCCGGGCAGGAGCAACAGAAAGGCAACTTCCCCTTCGAGCCGGTGTTTCTGAGCGTGCGGGTGAGGCGCACAGGGGTAGCCCTTAAAAACTTCCTCTACTAACTATGAAACGGCTGAAAAGGGTAGGGGGCCTAATCATTGAAATGGGGTTTAGGTTGTATACTACATTACCGTTACACAGGGGCTATAGAAGGGGATGCTATACGAATCATTTAGAACTCCCTACTTAGCTTCAGGGAACCTCTGAGAACCGGAAAGTTCAGCCTACCAGGGCCGTCCCCACGATCTATGCCGTCACCTACGAGGAGCTTCCCATCATGAGTTTTCGGTTTAGGGTTTAGGGCGAGTTGTCAGGGCTCCGAATAAAAAGTATCATGTGAGCATGGCAGTGGTGCGCAACTACGACTAAGGTTGAAGCCGAGGCTTTCTACGGTAATACCTTACCATGGGGGCTTTAATAATCACCTCTGGGTTTCCTTATTATAGTTACACTCTAATGGGCCCCAAAACCCTATTCTAATTCTCAAGGCCCCTACATTAAACCTTAAACCGGCTGCACGCCTGGGCTGCTGCAGGAGATGTCCCAGTTCTACGCGTGCGTCTTTTGGCCACTTGACCTCTCCTAGCCTTGTGGGTGTCCATGGTTTAGGGTTTAGGGTCATGGCTTATGGCATCCTGCTCAACGAATGCGGCGTGTCTGCAAAGGCCATGGGATGTGATGATGATGCTCTTCAGTGAGCTGTACACTATGCTCGTGCCCTTGTTCCTGCCCGATCGCCATTGGATTGCGCGGCTCCCAGGCTCAGAGGCCTATGAGGACGGGTTTCAGGTCTTCTTTGCGCACCGTCAGGTCAGCACTATGTTGTGGTCACTCAGATACTCTGACCAGAATTGGTGGCACATTCGTGCTCGCAATGTGAAGACGCCTGTCGGCAAGAAGCTGCTTAATCTCCAGCAGCCTCATGAGTACATTGCCGATACTTTTTGGATCTCTCAAAGAGCATGGCACCCTAACTCCCTGAAAGGGATCAGACTTGCGGAGCAACCTATCTCAATGTGTGAAAGCTTCTTGTCAGCGAGGGCACAGCTGCCATCTGCCGGGCTGGCGCCGTTTCCGATCCCCTACGATCCCTGGATTGGAACCGACCAGTTCGACGGACGGGAGCAGGCCATGAGATTTCGGGAATCTTCCAAAGCCTCCGAGGCATGGCAAAGGAATCGCCGACCCCAGACCTGATGCCACCCTCAACCTTCCCAAACCAGGAGAGCCTTTTGAGATCTCCTCAAGCCCCTAGGCGCCTGGAGTCCCTACCCAAATCCTGAACCCTAAATCGTCGTGGAATGCTCCTACTATAGGCCGCCTACTGGCTATCCCTCACGGAGTTCGAGCAGTCGGAAGCTCAGTGTTTGAGGGATTTGGAAGGTTGAAGGTGTCTGGGGTTTTGTCAAAGGTCTATTCGTTGGGGTTTAGGACTTGGAGGGTTAAAGGGTCTTGCTGTGGAGCGTGCTGTGGAATGAAGAAGGGGAGGTGCGGGGACAGGCTCAGAGGCAGCAAGATTTCGGGATTTACTTTCACCCCCAAACCCCACAACCCTCGAAGCCCTAAAGCCACAAATCCTTACAGCGCTCAGCCGAGGTATCCCAGCCTTGGTCATTTCCGCAGCGTCCCAGATCTCTTGGCGCAGCTGCGGCAGTGACTCGGCTCTTGTTAAGGAACTTCTTCGTTACGCTGCCGGAGTAGAGGAGTCCTACAATTCGCCATCTGGACATGCAGTATATCCATAAGCTAGATAAATTGCAAATCTGCAGCCCCGTAGATGAAATCTACAAATCAGATGCTGTCGTCATTGTGGTAGATTCAACTACCCATATCCCTTAATTAAGGAATATACCTTAAGTCCCCTTGCAGTAGACCTAAACCCTAAACCCTAAACCGTGGACCCTTCGGGCCTTGGAGAGCCAGGCTTGATCCGGAGGAGGCCAAGCGCGGCATGAGAGCCTTCAACGAGGCACCCGAGTTTTTTTTTGATTCCCGGGGGTGGGGGGGGGGGGCGGGGGAGGGGGGGGGGATTAAGGGTTTAGGGTTTAGGGTTTAGGGAAATTTTTTAGGGTAAACCCGAAGCACCGGTGTCTTCGGGGGCTCTTGATCCTTGGAGCTCGGCTTAGGGTTGGAGATGATGGGTCCCAGGGGTCGGCGGATCTCATTACGGATGTGGTCCCGTTGTACTTGGAGGATCATGGGACGCAGTAAGTCAGGTTATAAGTTCCTTAAGCGGGCCTTATAAGTGCTTCTAAGTATAGTTACCTTACTTATAACCCCAGCTACTAAGTCCCATGATCCTTTAAGTATTGTGATCTGTTCGCAGGCGATCCCACCAAGCGCAGGGTAGACTTTGGGGGCTGTCAATGCGGCACTGCAAGGGTCGAAACTCCGTCTCCACTGGTCTGTCGAGATATGATAGAAAGCCTAGAGCTTGAAACCCACAGCCCAAAACTTCAAGCTAAGCAGGAGGAACAGAGCCTGCAACAATCACCAGGGAGCCTCAAGTCTCAAGTTCAAAGCCTCAAACCCAACGACGGCGCACTTGCCATAAATTATGCAGCCCTAAACCCGAAACTCTAAACCCTAGACCCTAAACCCTAAAGCCCGAAACTCCTACACCTCAACCTGCGGATCCTGCGAACGCCGGCGTCGGCTCAGTTTCCTTACCTTGGGTTAGTAGGGAATGGAGGGCTGGGGTACAATTACAACTACAATAACCAACCGTTCTTCATCTCCCTACTAACCAAAGCTAAGTTATAGGGGTTATTAAGGCCCCTATATTATAGTACCCTTATAGATCCCTTATAGCAATCATTCCCTACTAACCAAAGGTAAGTTTCGAGCCGCCGAGGCCACGCTACGGAGTTCCCTGGACTTCTACCGCTGGGCCGCGGCCTCTTTGCAACCTTGCGGCACGAAGTCCGGCTCTTTTGCCTTCCCATTAGGGGAAAGGGTTTAGGGTTTAGGCCGAAATAAGTACCTGTGGGGGCTCCTTACTATAATGATAGTATCATAGGCCCCAAAACCCACCATTCTAATTATTAAGGCCCCTATATTATTGCCTTCCCACCTCCGGCTGGCATGCACCCACAGAAGAAAAGAAGTCAGTATTGTGAGAAGTACGCTGCATGCGAAGCCCTTTCTCCGCCGACAGTCTGTCTGGTTCTTAGTAGGGATGGGGGAATGGATCCCTATAGCAGCCCCCCATATAATCGCCAAAACAGTCTCCATAATCCATTCCCCTATTCACTACTAAGACCCAAACAGTTTGTACCCTTATAGTATCCCTTGTAGTAACCCTTACATAGAGCCCTTTAAAGGAACCCCTATTCGAATGATTAAGGCTCCCATATTATAGAACCCTACTGTAGTTCGAGAGGTTGGGAAATTCCATGCTGCCGTGGCTGTGATCCGGCAGAAGACCCTCACTGTCTGGACCGGGACTGCCAGGTGAGGTGGGGGTCCTTGTTAGGAGGCCCAACATAATGGATTACAAGGGGGACCACTGCAATAATGTGTACTGTAGCTCCGTTATACTCGAGCATATTAGATGACTAAGCAAAGCACATCAAGCATACAATGCAATGCAATTCAAAGCCCGTTCAGGAGCAAGTATGCCGGCGGATTCATGATCCGCGAGGTATCCGAACGAGGCGGATTTGGGACACGGATGCTCTGTAGCGGTAGCCGTGCAGGTGAAGCATGGCGGTTCGGAAGCATAATGGCAGCCCTCTTTGGCACAGAAGCAGTCTAGGGCATGACATGGTCTTACAAGCAAATCCCGAACAGAGAGCTTGGTTAATGAGTAAGCGGGTTCAGGTATCATTTGTTCAAATGTAAACAGTGTATGGTAGACCCATGCTGGAGTAGCACACTGTGCTGCGTTAGCATGTGGGCGGACAACTTCGGTGATGACGTACGGTTGCAGATCTTGGACCATTTATGGCCAAAGGAATGGCGGGGTGCTCAGTTGCGATCTGTGGCCTCGTTGGTACCATTCTGCTTGTGACAGCCATACCTGCCTTGAGGCTCTTGACATGTGCTAAAGTCTGCCAAGCGGCGAGACGCTTCCTTTCGCGGCAAGATGTGCGAGAGAGCCTGGTCACCTCACTGCCGGAGGATGCTTTTGCCCTCACCTCACCTCTATGGCGCCTGTTGAGGAGCGCCATCGTGCCGGACTCAGCTCTCCGTTTGTGGCTTCGTGCTGTGCTTTGCCGCAGGGTTGGCCCCCCAAGGCAGCTGGAAGCCCCTGCAGCACCGCCATGTTGAAGCCGACCTTTACGGTGATGGGAAGGCCAGCAGCTCGCGCAACGAGCTGTAGAGGTGGAAGGTCGCGGCTGCTGGGGCGCTGCTTCACGGTGTCTGCTCAAACGGGAGACGTGGCCCTGGTCACCCTGGCGCTGCAGTGCCGGGCGGACATTGAGCAGAGGATCAACGGCCAGAGCGCCCTGGACTCGGCGTCGCAGGCCGGGCAGGTGCAAATCGCAGAGGTGCTGTTGCAAGCCCGCGCGGCAGCGACTCAGACGGCGCAGGGCCGCTGGACTCCGCTGATGCGTGCAGCGCAGGACCGCGCCTGCACTCTCCCTCCGCGATGTTTCGGAGCTGCGTCTGTAAACTCTCGGTGTCGGAACAAATCGTAGGTAAGCATCGTGTACCCCAAAGCCCTGGCTTGAAGGAAGCATGCCTAGGCCTAAGATCTTGGGGCAAGTTTCGGAGTGCAGGGGGGACATCTCAAAGTCTGCGAGCTCCTCTTAGCCTCCGGCGTCGACCCGGACGAGTGGGCCGAGCGGACTACGGCCTTGGACGTGGCGGTGTCCCTTTCGCACTTGGAGGCCCGGATCCGAAAAGGAATTCTAAGCAGAGTGTGCTTTAAGGGCCCGAAACCCAGAAGGCCCTAACCTCTTAAACCCTACACCTCTAATCCCAGAGCCCTAAGCCCCGGAGGTGGTGAAAGCTCTGGAGGCCAAGCAGGCCCGGAGGTTCATTGAACTGCCGGCAGCGAGGCGAAAAGTCGCGGCTTCCACGAGCTTTCGAGGGGCCCTGGAGAGCTTTCGGCGGCCTTCCAGGAGATCCGGACGGGGCGTCCCTGCCACAGCTGTTTCCGAAACGCACAGAACATCTATATTCATATCTATATCTACATCTATATCTGTGTCTACATCTGTATCAATATCTACCACAATATCTATATCTATTTACATCTAGACCTCTACATCTGTCATCTATATCACCTGTAGCATCATTATCATCTACATCATCTGTGTCATCCATATCATCCTTGTCATGTGTATCATCTTTATGATCTGTATCATCTGTATCATCTATATGATATAAACGATATATATATATATATATATATATATATATATATAATTATGTTGTCTACATCTATATCTATATCTTCATCTTTATCTAGTCTACATCTATATCTTTACATGTATATAATCTGTATCATTTATAGCATCTTTATCGTCTGTATCACTATATATATATATTTATACCTGTATCTATATTTATACCTGTATCTATATCTATACCTCTATATCTGGATATAGATGTAGACATAGATGCTGATGTAGACCTAGATAGAGATATGGATAAAGATCTAGATATAGACAGACAGACAGATAGATGGATAGGGCCACCGTACGGGTGTCTGAGGAGTCTGTGTAAAGCTCCTGCCCGAAGCCTAGGTCCTTTGTGGCTCGGCCTCTCTACCGCTGCAGCCGAGAGTGCGCATCCCCGCGGCAGATGCTGAATCTGACGAGGAAGACGACGAGTTCGGAAGCGGATGAGAAAAAAGAGCGAAGTCTGCAGTGTGCTGCCTTAGCAGATTGATCTCCGCACTGTGATTCTACCTCTTGTGAGCAGGTCGGGGCTTCGAAGTCGCTGTGGAACGTGGAGCGAGACCGCTGTCTCACCAGCCGGCAAAGGCCTCCAAGGAGTAGAACGCGCGTCACTAGGGCGGGAAGGTGATGCTGCGGTCCTCGCAGGCTTCACTGCGTAGGGCGCGGTCTGGATCTCGAGCCCGAAACGCAAATCGGTACGCCCGATGCAGAAGCAACTGCTCGGCAAAAGAGGTTCGCTGTTGCATGCATCTCTTGGGGCATACCAGGCACCCTCTCAACACTGTCTCTATTTTTCTCAAGCAGCTAAGTATTTGTTAACCTTTCTGTGCCATCGCAAGGCGGAGGTGGGAAACTTTGGGCGCCTCGCCGGTGAGGGCCTCAGTTACAAGCGCGGGATGGGGGCAGTTTGGCAGATTGGGTCCCAGGCCCCGGTGTTTGGGGGTTAGGGTGGTTACAAACAAGGACAAGCAATTTCTATTTATCACTTTCTTGAGGGTTTAGGGTTTAGGGTTTGGGGTTTAGGTTTTAGGAGTCTAGGAGTTTAGGATTCAAGGTTTGGGGTTTGGGGGTTAGGGTTTAGAAGTCTAGGAGTTTAGGGTTCAAAGTTTAGGGTTTAGGGTTGAAGGTTTTAGGAGTTTAGTATTCAAGGCTTAGGGCCCAAGACTTAGTTTAGAGCTGAGAGTTTATGGTGCTTCAGGTTTAGGGTTTAGTGCTTGGATTTGGGAACCCACAGAGGACTTTCGATCTGGACGGATCCCATCCGCCTGTGCTTCCAGCTCCGGGCTTGTCGGAAGTTTTAAACCCGAAACCCGAAGCCCCTTAACCTTAACCCCTGAACCAAGACTGCTGTTTAGGTGCCCATGTCCAAGCAATCCTCAATCGAAGAAGCGATCGGTTCTTCAGTTTTTAAGGGACTTTAGGGTTTAAGTTTTACTGCTGCCTTGGGGTTTCTGAAGTTTGTACCTTCAGTGTATCTCCCTGACCATCCAACGGTAAACCTGGACCCTCAGTGCCTACCAGCTTCAGGTGGCATCCTAGCTGCAGCGATGCGCGAGACTACTTGCGCGGGTCTCGAAAACCGTTATTGGATGCTGTGTAGACTTTGCAAAGATCTGGCATTTACTGCAGCCTGACATAATTTCGCGTTGAAAGAGTAGCTGGGGCTTATGAGGATATGCGTGACTTGGTTCCTGCAGCTTGGAGTTGGAGGTCTTGTGCAAGTTTCGGCTTCTATGAGCATGCCCAACATACTCATACTATGATTTCACCCAGAAGCCATGCTCAAATTACTGGGTAGATTGAACCTTTTGCTGAACCCTTTCATGGACTATAAATGCTGCATATAAGAGCCCTATAGGAGCCTCTTTCCAATTGTGTAGGCTGCTATATTCACGCTACGATAGTCTAGGGTTGAGACCATTGATCCAACCCGAAAACGAAGCGAAAGTTTCTTGAACCTACTACTACTACTACTACTACTACTACTACTACTACTACTACTACTACTACTACTACTACTACTACTACTACTATTACTACTACTACTACTACTACTACTACTACTCCTGCTACTACTACTACTACTACTACTACTACTACTACTACTCCTGCTGCTGCTGCTACTACTACTACTACTACGACTACTACTGCTACCTAAACCCTAAACCTTGATACTCAGATGTGGATGCCGTGGGGATGCTCTCTCTGAGCAATGCAGCCAAAGCCGTTGCGCTTGCCAATTCCATGGCCGAGAACCAGGCAGCGTGGACTGCTCCGTCGTACTATAGGGTCCTCAGTAATTACCGACACTATTTTGAGGGGGTTCCTTATTGTAGTTATAGTACATTGGGCCGCCTCTATACGATTCTAATTATGGTCCGGGGTGTCGATTTGACGGGTGTACCAGTTATGGTTGATGGCTAAGGGTTCAGCGCATTGGCTTGGCCTGGTCACATCTGCTTATTGCAACCGTCACCATCGATACCTGTATCTTAAAAGAAGTGACGCTTATCCAATCCCGCACCAGCCGCATGGTAGTTTTTTTGGGCTTCCTGAGCAAAGCATTTTTTTGAAGTTTCAGCTTTTTAGGAAACGCCCGAAACTACTTGTCAAGAGTGTTGCTGTTCCGCTCTTGTTCTTCTGCTCGGCCTTAAACTTGCTTCAGCATGAGCTTCGCAAGCTTGGGTGGAGTCTTTGAATGAGAGCTTTGTTTCATCGACAGCCACGCACCATCTTGACCATCTATACTGAGACTATTGGCTCCTAAGACAGCATATGGCATCCGACCTATCTACAGTGTGCCACTTCTTGTCGCTGCTCTGTTTGAAAGGAATCTTTACTAATGCAGATGCTTGATAACTTAAACGATCAGGGGACGCAGTAAGTAGGTTTTCACTTTGGCAAATACAGGGTTTAATACATGAAGCCCTCATTGCTAGTACCGTTGTCCATACGTAACCTACTATCTTGTAAGAAACCCTGCAAAACCTCATAAAGCCATATTTACAATGTTTCCCTGTTCCTCTAAGTATTGCTCCTTTGCAAAAAAAAGGATGCTCGCCAGGCAGCCTCCAAGCACCTGGCATTTCAGCCAGAGCTGCTTTCCGAGGAGGCTGGTCCCTGTTCTCGTGTGGCCCCTGTACTGTTGATGGACAAAATCCTGCATTACCCATGATAAGGAATATACCATAGTTCCCATAGTTTAGAGTCCTTAGGGTCATGCAGGGTTTTGTCCATCAACAGTATGAAACTCTATGAAACCCTATGAAACCCTATGAGACCCTTCTAGAAACCATTCTTCAAACTCTTATAGTAAGCCTTGTAGAAAATGTTAAAGCGCCGCTGACTTCGGCTTCTGGCGAGGAGAACGACGTCGAGAGGAGGCCCAGCGAGCAGAAGGGGTTGTTTAGGGATCCTTAGGGGTGTAGGGGGAGGGGGGGTAGGGGGCCTTAAGGCCCATAATAAGGACTAATAAGGCCTATTTAAGGAAATATAGTCCCCTACACCCCTCCCCCCTACACCCCTAAGGATCCCTATAAGTTTAGGGATTTAGGGTTTGTGGGTTTGCGGTTTTGGGTTCAGTGGTTTTGGGTTTCAGTGTTAAGGCTTCAGGTTAAGGGTCTAAATAGATCGTAGGTCTATAAGGGCTGCTATAGTGGTGGGGGCCTGATAGTCCGAATGGGGTTTTGGATTACGTTATCGTAGAAACTGTGTGGCATATGTCGACTTCATCTTAATGCAGCTTGTTTTGTTTTGTGTCTGGTGGACGTATTATGTATGTGCACACGTATGTATGTAGGTAAAAATATGGATGGCTGGCTAGCTGGCTGGCTGGCTGGGTGGATGGATGGATGGATGTATGTATGAATGCATGCATGCCGCGAAGGTATACCGCATGAGATGCCCTTGCAGCATAGCACGTGCTTAAGTTCTGCATGCTGTAACCCATATGATGTACATAACTATCCTCCACTGCAGCCCATAAAACACCACGACAGCCCGATGCACAGGCTCTGCCGCCTGGTGGTGACAGCCAGGACCCCTCAAAAAGACGAGGACAAGCGGCCTTGAACATTCCGTGCGCTGTAATCCTGGAGTCCAGGAACTGAGAGGAATAAAGGGCCCAGTGCCAAAAAGGGAGCCCTTTTTGTTCCTAGGTGACTGGGCATCCTAGAAGTAATAAAGGGCCCAAACTAAAGAACCCCAATTACATGGACCCTCACAGTAACCCTAACCCTCGCAGTACCCCAGATCCCCCATCGCAGGAACCTTACAGTGCCCTCGTTGTGCTGAGAGGAGCCCAGGGATTTCTCCAAAGGCGGCATCTTTGTACCCCAAAGCTCTCCCGGCGAGGCCCTTCCGGCTTCCTTCGCTTGTTTTCGGCGCTATAGGGGCCTCAATAATGAGCTATACTATTTTGCGGGGGGTCCCTTATTCTTATGAAAGTCCAATATACCCAAAATCCCATTCTAATTATGAAGGCCCTTATAGTATCTTCCCTGCGCCTCCCAGGGTTCGGCGACCAGGACGACCCCTACAACTCTCGCGAGGATCGCTTGGTGCATCGTCAGCTTTCCAGAAGCCAGATCGAGCCCTTGTTGTGCCCTATTGAATCCTTACCCAGAGACTCCAATACTCCTTAATTTAGGAATATAACTTAAATCATATTAAGGATCCTACTATAATTTAAGGTATATTCCTTAATTAAGGGATATTGGAGTCTCTGGGTACCTGTAGTACCCTTTATGACAGACTGTAAACCCGAGCTTGAGCCGCCAGGACGGCGCTGGGGCAGTGGATGCGCTACACCGTGCCGGACCTCCGCCAGGCGCTGTGTGGGAGTTTCCGAACTTTGGACCCTTCTTCTTGGGGTCCTCATAATAAGGATCCTACTATTTAGGGTAATGTAGGAACCTGATTAAGAAACCTTGGGCCTTTGTTGGGGTTCCTTCTAGGCCCAGAGTTTCTTAATCAGGTTCCTACACTACCATACTGGGGTCCCCTATTTTCGGAAACTCCCATATCACGGAATATAGGGTACTATATTAGGGTTCAGGGTTTGGGGTTAGGGTACTATATCAGGGTTTAGGGTTTGGGGATAGGGCACTATACTAGTCCCCTATTTTCGGAAACTAGCGTGTTGCTACGATGCTTCACAGGAGCCCAGGAGCTAGGGAGCTCCAAACCCTACTGGAGGGGGGGGCCTGAAAAATGGCCGAGACTATTTTGGGGGTTCCCTGTTAAACTACCAATACTATTTTTTGGGGGGTTTTCCTCATGATAATGGCAGTAGAATGGGCTTAAAGGGCCAGTTACATTACCAAAACCTTTTTCTGGGGGTTCCTTTTTATGCCTATTGTAACGTGGGCTCTGAAAAATCATCATTCTAATTGCTAGGGCTCCTGTATTAGGAGCCCTGAACTAGGGGAGTCCTCAACCTCCAAACCAGAGACCCAGAAAACCCTAAACCCCTAGACCCTAAACCCTAGACCATAGACCCTACATCCTAAACCCCTATACCCTAAACCCCTAGACCTTAGACCCTAAACCCTGAACCCCTAAACCCTAAACCCTAAACTCTATACCCTAAACCCTAAAACCTAAACCTTAGACCCTAACCCCAAACCAGAGAGGCCCTGAGCCCGCAAGCCCGGCAGGCAGCGCGCTCAGCGGCCCGAGCCGCCAGCGCCGGTGAGAAGGTTCGCCGAGTGATGCTTAGGGTTTGGGGTTTAGACGGTTTAGGGTTTAGGGTTTAGGGTTTAGGGTTTAGGGTTTAGGGTTTAGGGGGTTTAGGGGGTTTAGGGGCCTTTAATTAGAATAGGGTTGAGGGTTCCTTTAAAGGGGTCTATAAGGGTTACTACAAGGGATCTATCAGGGTAGTATACTATAGGGGCCGTAATGGTTGCCTGTATTGTTGTGGGGGTTCCTTATTATAATTATAGTAGAAGAGGCCCCAAAACCCTATTCTGATTATTAAGGCCCCTATTTTACCCCTTCGTTGTGACATAGGCTGAGGTTCAAACCCTAGTTATCATCGCGCACGAGGCACTGTAACTTGTGAATGCCGCTGCGCCGGCATCTCCCCTGTGTCGCTGAAGGGTAGTTTGACATCCAAGCACGTAGCGCGTGGACTCGATGCCGATCGGTGGCCGCCGCCGGCACCATAGTGAGTCGGACGGGCAGCGGCGACAAGCAAACTGTGGCAGGCTTTGGAGAAGTGCAACTCAAAAACACACAGGTACTGTAGCCTCTGCTACTTCGCCTCCTGTCGCTCGATGCTACCCCCAGGACGAAGCATTTCTTCCATCCTAGCCATCTTGTCCTCGACACCCTGCACCTGCTCGTCAAGCCTCCCAACTCGTCCATCCATCTGCCCCAGGCAAGACTCAAGCTTTTCATCCAACTTCTGGATCAATCGGACGATTTCCTCCTTGTGCTCCTTGAGCATTGCCTGCAGCATTCCGCAATCAAAGCCATCAGAAGCGGGCACCTTATTGCCAGTACTATTTTCGGGGTTCCTTGTTATAACTGTACATTAAGTAATATACTCCAAGACGCTATTCTTATTCTTCTTCCCAGGCAGCCCTGGAACTCCACCAGGGCCCATCTCACCGAGCCCCAACTGCAGCCCTCCGGACATCCACCAGCACCTCAGAAACGTAAGCAGAATCGAGCAAAGGAGGACATCATGCTACTCTGCTTCATGGTGCACTTCGCTGGCATCTCCGGCCCCAGAGCTCTATCCCGTGCACGCCTGGAGATCCTTGGTCTTCATCTGCACATCTCAACGAATGGGTGACTACGCGGATGCGCTAGAAAGCGGGTGAGACCTCAGACTCCATCGCACGTTGGAGAAGCTGGTGCCCCCCCCAACCGCGGCTCGCGCTACCACACGTCGTGGATACAGCTGCCTTGCAGCTCTATCAGGATTGAAGAGCAGCGAGCTCTTTCTACATTTGCGAAAGCCATGATCAACCCAAACCCTGAACCCTAAACCCTAACCCCAAAACCCTCAACCCTAACCACCCACCAGAAGTAAGAACGGAAGCAAGGATAAACAACAAGACAGCAACAAGCGTAATGTTCGGAAAGTCAAGAGTGCAGCCCGTGCAGGCCGTAGCGTCGGCTTCATCCACGCCCGGCAGGCGGGTGCCTTCTGCGCTGCTCGGATGATGTCGAATTCCAGAGCTATTCAGCTCCTGCAGGCAAAAACCTCCTTTTCTGATAGCCATGGGACCGTGTGGGAACCCAGCGTGTCATCAACATGGTTTAGTTTTATGTCTGTCAATGTATGTTTTTTTTTTTTTGTCATTCCCAGTGCGGTTTCTCGTTACATCCCCAACTGTAGTTTATCCGCTGTTGTTGAAGAGTTCTTCATAAGCTTATTGCTGTGATCATTCTGGTCATCATGTTGTGTTGCAGTGACGTGGTCCGTCAGCCCCAAGCCCTTAGACCTTGTACCCTTGGGTGCTAAAAAATGTCTACTTAGTAGCTGAGTGGATACACTTTACACTTTTTGGGACTATAAAACTACAAGTGTACACTTTTTGGGGCTTATGAACTCAGCAACGAAGTCTAAACTTTAGGCTTAGACCCTAACCTTGAAAGCCTGAGCGCTGAACCCTGAGCCCTACGCACAAAAGCGAGGCCTGCCATCGCTATGGGGGTGAAGTCCCTCGCCTTTGTCTGCAGGGATGTCAGAAAGGACCGGGGTTTCAGGAACCATCCGAGGAGAATGCTGTTCAACACAACGCGTACTGTTCACAATATAACTCATAATGGATCGAATGTGTTATGTTTAGTATCTAGTCCAACATCTGCACATATACATATACACACCTATATATTTGTAGAATGTACACGTATGACTGTGCGTCTGTGTGGCAGTATGGCTGTCTGTCTGTTTGCATGCATGCATGTATGCATGGCTGGCTGACTGGCTGGGTGGGCGGGTGGGTGGGTGGGGGGGTGCGTGGGAGGGTGGGTGGGTGTGGATGGATGGATGGATGGATGGATGGATGGATGTGTGTGCACGGTGGGTTACATACCGGGACGAATCTGGAACAGACAGTCGAATCATAGGGGAAATTGCTTCACCCGCTGCCTTGTGCCGCAGGAGCACCTGGTGCCTGGGCTCGGAAGTCAGTTGCAGATGAGTGACCCAAAGGGCCACGTAAACAAGGGCGGTTTGAGGACTAAGGTTTCAGACAGCTCCCGATCCTTGTTCTTGTGGTCCTCAGATGTACCATCTGATACCCGGACTGTAGAATCCTGGCTGTAGTTGCACCAAGCCCCGAAACCCTAAACCCTAAGCCCTAAACCCTAAACCCCTATACATGGGATTTGGCGGCCTTCAAGGGCGCTGTGCCGAGGACGGTGTTCCACCCGTGCTGGTGGTTCCCAGACTCTGGCAGAGAAAGGCTCGGGGTGTTTGCAGAGGCCTTGGAGAGGAGCCAGCACTAGCTTTTCTGCAGGTGAAGCTGGAGAGTGGAAAGGACCGAATGCTCAGAGGATTCTCAGATAGATGCAACTACCATGACGTCCTGTGGTGTAGCATGCTGATACCTGCAACATCCGATACCGCCAATACCATCTCTACGCCATTTTCCATGCAGGACAGGATCAGCAAGCAGCTCGTCCTCTGCTTGGTGCGTGACCTTCGCGCTTCGGAGACTTCGGATGCGATGCGGTGAGCCCGCAGATCCGAAAAAGTGCGATGTCCCTGGGTTCGATCGTGTTTGTGCTAGGGTTCAGGGTTGCGTCTTATGGATTTCGAAGACTGTAGGGCCGCTGCACTTCCTTGCAGTTTTTTGGGTTTAAGTTGCCCGCCCTTGGTCTTCATCGTTTCGGCGGTAGTCGTGAAGTCTGGTGGAATTTGCGTGCATGGACCACATCGGCTCGAAGACGGGGTGGGACGTAGAGAGGAAGGGAACGGCATGGAGCGCAGAGCTTGCCGCACGTCTTCACGAAGCGATGCAACGTGTAAGCTACTGAGGACACACAGACACCGTTTTGAACTTCTCAGATCTTGGTAGGGTCTCTTCATCGAGCTGATAGGCCCAACATCTGAAATGAGACTTTTGCGCGGTGCTCCCTATTGAGCCGAGAAGCCTTCAAGTCCATAGTTCCATGAGGGCAGCCCTAACCCCTAAACCCTAAACCCTAAGCCCTAAGCCCTAAACCTCAAACCCTCAAACCCTAAGCCCCAAAGCCCTAAGCCCTAAACCCTAAAGCCCCAAAGCCCCTAAAGCACCCCCCAAGCAGGGGAGCCTGATGGCACATGTGGCGATGGCCCCCATGAGCCCGGACGGCTTCGCGGCCCAGTCCGAAGCCTACGAGCGGGTGGTGACTCTAAATTCTCGGGGACCCTTAGCGGGGTAGGGGGGAATTTTTTTTGGGGAGGGTGGGCAGGGGACTTTGCTTCCTAGAACAGGCCTTCAAGGCTTATTAGGTCCTTAGTATGGCCATTAAGACCCCCTACCTCCCCCATTTTCCCCTCCCCCACCCCTCCTGAGGGCCCCTATGATAAATCCCAAACTCCGAACACCTTGGCCCCGAAGTCTTAAACGCTGATCCCCAATCTCCAAGTATCGATGCCTGGAAAGTCGTGTAGTTGACGACCACACTTACGAAGTTGCTTGCAAGTTGGTATGTAGCAGCTGACGGTAAGCTGGAGGAGGGTAGAGCTTGACTGGCCGCTGCTTGCAAGGCGGGGCTATGAAGCAGCTCGGATGCCGGGGTATTTCTGCCACTTGGCTTGGAAGGACGAAGTGTTAAGAAGCAGATACCTGATAGACACCCTTTCACACTGAGGCTCCAAGCCTGCAGCGATTCGCCCATCGGCGAGCTGCAAGTCGATACCGATGGAGCCCGTGACCATCCCAATGGAGCCGAGGCTTCTTCAAGCCGTCCACGTGCCCGCGCCTCCGTGGACCCTCCAAGCGCCAGGGCCCGTTCGCCGGTCCGAGCCGCCCCGGCACGCGAGCCCCAGCGCCGTGCGCCCCAGCCCCGTGCGCCCCAGCTGGGCGCCCTCCAGCGCGCGGCTGCGCGCGGAGCTCACGGAGCCCGCAGAGCCTGCGGAGTCCGTGGAGCCGCGTCCAGCGACCCCTTCGTCCCTCTGGCCCGAAGGGGGCGGAAGGATACGCCTGCCGTGCAAGGTCCGCGCCTTTGTCAAGCTTCCTCCTTTTCGCTTTGAGCTGTGGTGCACTGGTGCACTCTGTCTCCGAGGCCTTGGAGGCAAAGTCCTCACCAGAGCGACCGAAAGCGGAAGTCCCCCAGGCCGGGTCAACGAGTCCCGGAAGGCAGTGAAGGCTGTGAAGCTTCGTGAGCTGAGCCGTTCAAATTTCAAAGGGACTCTTAGGGGTATTAAGGCCCCCTACCCCCCACCCCCCTATACCCCCCTTCAGCGTCCTCATGAGTCGTTGTTTTTCTGCAGGAGAGGACACCGGAAGGTGTCAAGACCCGGCGTCCTCCTCAACGGCCCGTCAAGGCTCGCCATGAACTTCGACAGCAAAAGTGTGGTTGTCAAAATTAGGGTCCCTTTTCGGGTACCCTAAATAATAGGTGCCGTACTATAATGGGGACGCAAAAAGGGACCCTAATATTGACAACCACCCATATAAACTCGAGGATTTCACCCTGCAGTAACTCGAGGGAGGTTTAGGATACTGTAAGTGGGATAAGTGGGACTTCATAAAGTTTTACGTGAGAATCCTTGTGTTTATCTGGTCTCTAGGGTCTTGGACACCTTTTTCGAGACTTGCACACTCTTGGCTGTTAACCCTATGCCCGAAGTCCGAAAACCCTAGACCATGAACCCGGACGTTTATCGTTCCCGTAACTGCGCGTTGTCGTGACGTTGTTGAGGCATGTTTTGATAGCACATGGGAGTTTCCGAAAACTAGGGGTACATTATTTTGGGGTCCTGAAAATGAGGATCCTACTATTTAGGGTACTATAATGGGGTCCCCTATTTTCGGAAACTCCCACATGCTGCCACCAAAGCTAAATTCCTCAACCCCCGAAGCCTGGTCTCTAGGCCCGAAACCCTATTCCCTATAACCTTAAACCCTAGACCCTAAAAAATTAAACCCTAAGCCCTACAAACCCTATAAACCCTATAAGCCCCATAAGCCCTATAAACCCTATGAACCCTATAAGCCCTATAAGCCCTAGAAGCCCTACTTAAAGGATCATGGGACTTAGTAACTGGGGTTATAAAAAAGGTAACGATATTTATAAGCACTTATAAGCCCACTTAAGGTACTTATAACCTGACTTACTAAGTCCCATGATCCTCTAAGTATTCAAAAGCCCTCCTATAAACCCCACAAGCCCTAGAAGCCCTAAACCCTAAACCCTAAACCGTAAAACCCTATAAACCCCTATCCAAAAGCCCTCAAACCTTGTCTGCCAGGCCCGTCTCTCCGCAGGCGGAGCGGCCACCAGCCTCGTGCTCAGTGCTTGCAAATGCTCCAAACGTAGAGGACAAAAGAGATTTAGGGTTTAGGGTTTTAGGGTTTAGGGGTGTGGGGGTTTAGAATTACAGGGTTATAGGGTTTTGGGGTTTAGGGTTTAATAGGGTTTTAGGGTTTAGGGTTTAGGGGTTGAAAGTGTAGGGTTATCAGGAAGCAAAGCCGGCACCCAAATCTAAACATTGGGTGGGATATCCCGAATGACTTTCTTGGCTTTCTGAAAGGGGGGACTATGATCTCAACGTGTTGGTTTTTGTTTAGGAGTTTCTTGGCTCCTGCAGGAAAGCGACATTCAATGAGTTGTAACAGGCAACTACCAGATAGACTCAGATAGAAGCTGGTGGTTGGTGCCAAAGGCGAATAGCAGATGATGCAAAACTTACATCAACCAAGAACCAGCGAGTAAGTGGTTGGCAAACAACAAAGTAGATAACTAGGCAAGCAAACGAGCAGATGTCTCTCTGTCTGTCTGCAAGTCAGTCAGTCTGTCTGTCTGTCAGTCCGTCTGGCCGTCAAGCTTGTCGGTTCATCTGTCTGTAGCTGTGTCTGCACCCATACATGCATGCATATGTTTGCCTGTGCACACCCAGTTGTGTATGCAGGCATGCAGGCATGTAGGTATGTAGGTCATGTAGGTACGTATGTACATAACGCTAATGTCGTGGCAGCCAAGGGCTCACAGCGCAGTTCATGTCATGCCAGCCTTCCTGGAAGGAAGCCGTTCATTATGTTGCAGAGGTCCAGAGGAGCGCCGTCCAGGGCAGCAGGTTGGGGGTGCTCCACAATGCGGCTGCGAACTCGGCGGGAAAGAAGGCCTGCTGGCGCCAGGCCCTGCAACTGCTTGACTGTCGTGAGCTCTCCGGCGCCTGGCATGAAAAGAACCTTCTGGTGGCCCACGGCATCGCCGTGGACGCCTGTGCGCGGGCAGCATCCTGGGCCTCGGCGCTGCAAGGGCTCCACTCCTGGGCCCTGCAGGGAGGCGAGCCGTCGCTCGTGGCATTCGGGGCGGCAGCACGGGGCCTTGCGGCGAAAGTGGGAACGAGTGCCTGGCAGCAGGCGGCACAACTGCTCGCCATGGAGCCACCCAGCATCTTCGTCGGCAATGCAGTGCTTTCTGCGTGCAGCCGCGAAAGGCTGTCGCAGCAGGCCCTCCAGCTACTGTCTGCTATGAGGCAGCACGGGCCCCAACCAGACGCGGCGAGCTACAACATCGTTCTGGGCCTTTGTGCTGATGAGGGACATGCGGAACAGGCTGGGCGCCTACTAAGAGAAGCCAGACGTCAAGACGTAGAGACCAACCTCTTGATGTACAACCTGGCCATGAAGTCCTCCCTCAGCGCATCCCAGTGGGAAAGCGCTGCAAGTGTCCTCCTTGCAATGTCGAGCGACTCAGTCCCAAGCGATGAGATCTCCAGCAGCACGAGCATTGCATCCTGTGCACGGGGAGGCCCCTGGAGATTTTGCCTGGCACTTCTTGCGACGCTCCCGGTCGGATGGCGTGGGCTTTCAGGGGGGATGGTGGCTTTCAGCACGGCAGGATCTGCTGCTATTCAGGCCCTGCAGTGGGCTTACGCCCACACGCTTTTGGACGAGGTTCGCAGAGCTCAGCTGCAGACCGACACAGACACTTTTGCAGCCTTGTCCACAGCCTGCATGGCTGGCACGGCCAGCAATCCGGCACCCGGTGGGAGACTTTGTTGGCCGCTTGCAGCGAGCTTACTCAAGACCTGCAAGCAGAGGCATGGTGTGGTGCTTGACACGTCGGTAGGACCCTCCGTGGCCACCTTCAGCAAGTCCAGTCAGTGGCGGGCCGGCATCCAGCTCCTTGCAAGCCTGCGAACTTCTGGAGTTCGCCCGCACCTGATCTGTTTCAATTCCGCCGCCATGAGCACCTGGTCCCTGGTCTCTTCCATGCTTTCCGGCATGGTTCTGGGAGGGCTCGAGCCGGACGTGGCCTCGTGGAATGCGCTGCTGGTGGCGAATCCCTGGGAGAAAGGCACCGAGACCCTGGAAGCCATGGCATCTCTTCAGGTCGAGCTGGATCGAGTCTCCGTGAGCACACGATTGGGCAAAATGACCTCGGCGCCCTGGAGAACGTCACTGAAGCTGGGCTCTTGTTCAGAAGTTTAACGTCAGGTACCATTCTCGGGATCTTTAGAAAATAGCATGGTGTTCTTGTTGTTATGGTAACTTAAACTAAATCCCTTCACAAGAGCCCAGGAAAGCCCTGGCCAGCACCCAAAGAAGCTCCTCAAGCCCAAACTCCGTGGATGCCATCCTGGCCGCCGCTTTGCTGCGCAGCTCGGCGGCGCGGCGCTCCTGGCAGGAGACTGGGTTCTTGTTAAGGAATTTAGCTTAAGTTACCATAACAAGGAAGCCATATTCTTTACTAGAGATCCTTGTTTTATTTACTATAGGTCCTTATTATATTTACTATAGATCCTTATTATATTTACTATAGATCCTTATTATGGTAACTTGAGCCTTAAACCCTCCTTAAACCCTAAACCCTTAAAGGAACCGAGCCCAGGAGAGCCTTCAGCTCAGGGCCTCCTTGGGGAGGGTCGACGGCACCGACCTCAGCGACGAAGGACCGACAAAAGATTAAACACAAAACCATAAATAAGTACATCTGTAAATAAATAAATAAATAAATAAATATATATATATATATATATATGTATGTATGTATGTATATATGTATGTTTTATGCAATATGTATAGGCATATGAAGTATAATATGCATTACTACATGTTAGAGTATGTATATATATATATGTATATATATATATATATATATATATTTTTTTTGCTGGAAGGGGTCCTCCTTCATGCTATGCAATGCGGAGCTCGATGTGTCTTTGAAGGACTGCAGAATGCCGCGCTCGGCGCGCTGCAGGACTCAAAGGATCAGGGAGCTTCTTAGGTAAAACTTACGGCTCGGGCAGCTACACTTTTCTCCTGACCTATAACCCCGATCAAGGTGGCCATAAGCAGATGAAAACCTGCAAAAACTCACAAAGAACCCTAAGAGTGGAAGATCCTTCGGAGCCCTTGTCGAAACCCTTCAAGGAGGGCTCGGCCTGGCAGATGAGCGCCCACACGCTCGGCTCCTTCGCGTCCGCGCGCTCGGCGCCGGGGCCGCTGGCGCTGCTGGGCTTTTGTTAAGGATTTCTAGTGTTTTATAAAACACTACAAAGCCCAGTTCCAGCAGGGTTTTTGTTAAGGATTTCTGTGTAAGTTACCAAAGCAAAGGCTTCCTTGAAGCTTTTTTTAAGTGTTCTGAGAGGGTTTAGGGTTTTTAGGACTTGTGCGGAAGTTACCAAAGTACAATGTTCCTACAAGTGTTCTAAACGGGTTCAGGGTTAAGACCTCTGTCGAAGGTACCAAAAGTTACGGGTTCTAAAAGGGTTTACGATTGAGGATTGCTGTTTAAGGCAGCAAAATGTAGTGTTCCTCATTCAAGGGTTCTTTTGAGGGTTCAGAAAGGGTTTAGGGTTTAGGGTTAAGGAGTTTGATGGAAGTTGCCATATCGTAATTTACAGTAAATAATAAGGTTTCCTTGTCATGGTAACTTAATGTAGATTCCTTAACAGAAGCCCAGGCTCAGTGCCGTGGTCACTGCCTGCGGCAGCGCCGGGAAGTGGGAGGTACGGGCTTGTCGGGGTTGCGGGTTTGGGATTTTTTGGTTTTCATACAAAAGACATCTCAAGGGGATTGCTGAACCTCGAAACTCCAAACCCTAGACCCCAAAATCCCGAAACCACTGAATCTGTGGATCCCTGACCCCAAATCCTGAACCCTAAGCTCCGAAACCCCCTAAAACCCTAACAGTTGAAACTTTATGGCTTGGGAGGAAATGTTGACCATGAGCTCCTGGCTTGGCACCCTTGGTGGCAGGGGACTCGGAAACTCAAAGGCAGTCGAACCGCCAGGACAGGACGATGCACTGTGCTGTCTCTTCTCTCTCTCTCTCTCTCTCTCTCTCTCTCTCTCTCTCTCTCGCATGCTTATGAAAAGGAAGTTCGGAAAGAAAGTACTATAACGGCTTAAATAATGATTATCAAGACTATGTTGGGGGCTTCCTTATGATACTCATAGCACAATATCCCCCCAAAACCCTATTCTAATTATTTTAGAGGCTTTCGGGGTTCCTTGTTGTAATTTTTGCATAACTTTCTACAGCCCAATGCACGCGACACTAAGTGGCTCAGGTGGGAGCAGGTCGGCGTCCTCGGAAGGCTTCGGAGCGCTGGCGGGCAGCTGAGGGAAGACCCCCTGGTGCTTAGCAGGGAATGGGGGAATGGATTATGGAGTCGGAGACTATTATTGGGGACCCTTACTTGGAGGGGCGGGGGACTTAGTAAGTCGGTTATAAGTAGAGTTATAAGTAGCCTAAATGGAGTTACCCCAATTATAGCCCTACTTAGAACCTACTGACTAAGTCCCCTGCCCCTCCAAGTAAGGGACTATCATAGGGATCCATTCCCCCATTCCCTACTAAGCACCAGACAGAAGATGTCACATGCAGTCTTTGTCGTAGTTGGGTTCTTTTAAGGATTACATGAGGGATCTATAATAGGGTTCTATATAGGGGTAGTTGCCAACAAGGAATAGAAATGTGGATTTTTAATACTATCCCAACCATGAACTAGCATTCTGCTGCAGTATCTTGTCATGCGGTCTGTTCTAGTCTGGTGTACTATGATACTAAACTGTATACGTATATACACATATGTATGTAGATGTATATATATATATATGTGTATATACACATACGTACATGCAAACCGACCTACCGACCTACCTCCATACCTACATACAAACAAATAGTACTATTATCGTGTCTTGGAGAGTAAAGTACAACCTATGTTTATGACCCTTTCGCCAATGATGTTGCAGGATCCCATTAGGGCTTAGATTTCAGGGTTTTACGGTGACACTAAACCCTAAACTCTAAAACCCAAACCCTAAACTGTAAACCGATGGAGATCTTTTCGTCTGGTCATGGAAGCTTGGCGAGCCTTATGGGGACTCCTGCAAGCTACAAGCCTTCCTACAGTGAGGGCTACCGAAAAGTTACTACAAGGGTTGCTATATGCCTTCTTGAGGTCGACTTCTGTAGTCGTGTTTGACTCAACTTGAGTCAGATAGTGTTGTAAAAGGTTTTGAATAATGGTTCATAGAGGTTTGTACGAAAACCTTCAAGCTCTTCCAAAAACGCTAAACCTTTATCAAACCCTTCTAAAGCCCTAAACTTTTATCAAGCCCTTCTACGGCCTTGAATCCTTATCGAATCCTTGAAAAGACCCTAAACCTCTATCAAATCCTTCTAAAGACCCTCTATCAACGCCGTCTAAAGACCGTCAGCCTCTATCAAAGCCTTTTAAAGACCGTAAACATCTATCAAGGCCTCAGGAACCGTAAAGCCCTATCAACGCCTTCTAAAGACATGTGGGAACCTGATCAAGAAACCTTGGGCGCTTATTAGGGTTCCTGGTATGAATCCTACTATTTGGGGGTTATCGGCCCAGGGTTTCTTAACCAGGTTCCTGCATTATCAACGCCTTCTAAAGACCGCAAGCCACTATCAGACCTAAACCCTCAACCCTAAACCCGAAATCCGAAACCCTAACCCCTAAACCCCTAAACCCCTAAACCCCTAAACCCTAAACCCTAAACAAGGCGCCTCGGAGCTTTTTTGTTGCTTGGGGCCCGCCGAGGCCATCGGACTCCGAGGCTCCGGGCGCTGGCGCTGGGCGCTCCTCTGCCTGAGGGAGCTCCGAGGCTCGGGGGAGCTAGAGGGGGTCCTTTAAAAGGGATCCCTTTAAGGGGATCTATAGGGGATCCTTTAAAGGGTCCTTTAAAAGGGATCCATTTAAGGGGATCTATAGGGGGTCCTTTAAAGGGTCCTTTAAAAGGGATCCATAGAAGGGGATCTATAGGGGGTCCTTTAAAGGGATCTGTAAGGGGTTCCTTTAAGGGGATCTATGAGGGGGGTTCCTTTAAAGGGTCCTTGAAAGGGGTTCCTTTAAAGGGGATCTATAGGGGTTCCTTTAAAAGGGATCTATAGGGGTTCCATAAAAGGAGTTCCATAAAAGGAGTTTCTTAGTGGATGCTCTTTTGGGGTTTAGAGATGTGTGTCTCTGGTGCAGGGTTTAGGGTTTTTGGGGATGTTGAGGGCTTCGTTTCTGGGGCTGCCAAGGCTTCCCAGAGAGCCCAAACCCAGCATCCCCTAGTTAAGGAACATTCCTTGGGTTCTAGATGGCGCAGTCAACATCAGACCTTGATGGGCTAATTACTGCTTTTTCGCAAGCACCAAAGCCAGTGAGGATTGTGCAAGCTAACATACTAAGCACAAATCCCCAACCTCTAGAAGGCCCTCGAGCCCAACTCCCAAAACGTCTCCCACACTAAACCCTAAACCCTAAACCCCTAAACCCTAGCCCCTAAACCCTAAACCCCTTAAAACTAAATCCTAACCCCTAAACCCTTCACCCTACATAAGCCCTAAACCACGCCAGAGCTGGGCCTCTCGGTGCCGCTGCTGGCAACCTGCCATGCCGCCGCGGCCTGCGCGGAAAACGGCGGTCAAGGGCTCAGATTGTAGGGGTTTGGGTTGAGGGTTTAGGGTTTAGGGGTTTAGGGGTTTAGGGTTTGGGTTTAGGGGTTTCGGGTTTAGGGTTTAGGGGTTTAGGGGTTAGGGTTTAGGGGTTTAGGGTTTAGGGTAGCGTTTAGGGTCGGGGCTGCGGGAAGTGTCCATGCAGCGTGGCCTGGCCAATTGAGTTTCGCCAGTGTGTGCTCCATTCAGTCATCTGCAGTTGTGGCAGGCAGCGTACTGTTACAGCATCAGTACACAACTCTCAGGTACTGGTACCATAAGGTGTCAGTGCAGAAGTGTTCGAGCCTTTTTGCTGTTGTTTCGCGTCGCCGAGGCTTCTGGAAACTGCTTCAGCTGGCATACCAAGCGCAAGCGCGCGCCACGGAGGCTTGCGAGATTGCTAGAGCAGGTAGGAAGCGGACGTGCCTTTGCAGGGCAACCAGAGCGTCTTTCCGACATAGTGTCGACAGGTATACTGGTACTGGTGGCAGTAGAGTAGGGCTAGTACGTGCAGTACCTGTCTGTCAGAGGAGGAGGAGGATGAGGAAGGGAGGGAGGGAGGGAGGAGGGGGAGAAAGGAGAAGGGAGGAGGAGGGAAGAGGAGGGAGAGAGGAGGAGGAGGATGGAGGATGGAGGAGGAGGAGGAGGAGGGAGGAGGAGGAGGGAGTAGGAGGGAGGAGGAGGAGGGAGTAGGAGGGAGGAGGAAGAGGGAGGAGGAGGAAGGACGAGGAGGAGGAGGGAGGAGGAGGGGGGAGGAG